TGCAGGGAAGCCGAGGCAGGCCCGCGACAGATGGTCGGGAGTGAACGGGTGATGTCGACAATGTGTACCGAGTCCTGGAAAGCACATTCAGGACTCGGCACAGGAAGAGACAGAGAAGAAACTGCAGCTTCTGTTGTGTCCCTGTCGACACATGTAAACCCGCACGCACAACAGACGAAGACAAACACAGATATACACGTGCACAAAAGGGACAGAAAAAGACAAGGCCGGCAGGAACAGACAAAGATGGACGCTGCAGCCTGTAGCCTATATTTGCTGCCAACTCTCTGGTTCTTGTGCACACTAAATTTTTCAACTGACATTCATTTTAGCTGTTCCCAGCTCTACCTCACCTGCTCTCTCCCTTACGTCAGAATCCTAACACAAACATCACCCCCTCCAATCCCCACGCGACGCCTCTGTTGCTCTTCTCTTTGTCCTGCTGGCTCTTTTGCAATTAAGCAAATGGGTCATTAATTAATCGCCGCAGGCAACAGGACACAGGAGGAGTTAATCAGACTGGATGGATGGACTGCTGGGAAAGAGCGCGACACACAAACACGCATACACATGCGTGCCCGCTTTCACAAACTATTGACATTTCTGAGGAGTGAGCCTCCGGTAGGACGTGCATGAATAAAATTACAGAAAGTAGCAGGAGTTGATGAAAAGCAGCTTGATCATTGATTCGTGTTGTCAAACTGTGCTGAGTGGCAGTTTCTTCTGGAGAGGAAACTTCGGTTGAAGCCTTGCCTCGGGCCATCAACATTCAGAGTAAGACAAGAGGATATTTCTCTAGAGTGTGGTGGTACACAGCTCAATCGTCGAGACTGCTGACAAATCATTTCTGTGAAGTATGTACAAACAGGACTATTGACGGGAAACCACACAGGATTTGTATTGGCTGGACTTATACTTTAAAAACAAATGGTTTCATAAGTACAGGGCTGGTCCGGGACAGGCGTGGGCTCAGTGCTGAGACATCACTTTGGCTGTTGAGACAGAGGCTGATTGTGAATGCAGAACTGTTCCTCAGACCTTTTCTGCTTTAAAGGTGGGTTTCTCTTGAGACGCATACAGCATCTCTTTCTCTCGGCTCTCTGATGGGTGTGTGTTTGTGCGCTATAGATGATAGATAGATTGGAGTAGGAGGACTGAGGTAATTACGTGCACAAATTACGTTGGGAATGTTTGGAATCTGCACCAGCAAGAGAAAATACCAAATGTGTCGCACAGCACACAGCAGGAAGTGCCAAAAATAAAAGGGGAGGCAACTATTATTACTATTGATTATGATTAAAAACATAAGTAGGGCTGCAGCTAATCATTATTTTCATTATCTATTAATCTCCTGATAATTATCTCAATTAATTGTTTGGTTGTTGTTTTTACAGTGAAAGCAACATATTTCAATTCAGCTTGTTTTCACCCACTTACAATTCAAAACTCAACAATATTCAGTTTGCTGCCACATAAGATAAAGAAAAAGCAACCAATCTTTACAATAACAATTTTAGAGCCAGCAAATGTTTGTTTTTTCTTAATAAATTGGACTCTTTATATACAAATGTAATTGTTTATCAGAATAATTGACAAATTGATTAACCAACTATACATTTCTGCAAGAGAAAAACTAATTACTATCCACTAATGCCCACCACCTCCACCACACACGCAGGAGTATACACATTAGCGTGATAACACGTGGACAAGAAATCAAGCCATCAAACCTGCCCAGAGTATCATGAGTCGAAGAAGTATTTCTTGATTTAACATAATGCTCTATTGATATTTCTCCAGTAGATGGCAGACTTTTAATCATTGCAGCCCATTTGGCAGCTACACCGAACCAGATCCAGCACTTCTATAGCAAGAAGTGATACAAAAGGAAAGGCGAAAGGCCCCGTTTTTTTACACCTATAATACGGCCTCTCGAACAAACACTTCCTTCCACTGCCATTGAGTCAGAGCGGAAGAGGTGTTTCTTCTTCGGACATCCTCTCTTTTCCTTTAACCTCCCATGCCTGACCTTTTGATGTCTGTCAGCAGGAAAAGGAGAGCAACAGGGAGGTGACCTGGCCAACATGTCAAAGGAAAAGACAGGATAGGGCAGTAACAACAATGACACAGGATGCGAGTTGTTTTGTCCAGTGCACTCAGCACTATCTGATAACAAGAGGAAGGAAAGGAAGACAATATCAAGCTAAAGCTAAGATTCTCACCTGGACAAACCTCAAAAACTGTGGTGGTGGCGTTATGCAGAAAACGTCAAGCAGACTTTTCTGCATTAGATAATGCTGGCGGTAGAAATCCCTGCATTGAAACTACCGAGTCAGAAAGTATTAATTTTATTTCATAAAAGAGCCAGAGTCTCCGTCATAATGTGAACGTATTGGCCAAAAGACATAAACTCTGCTGGGACGAAAATGAGTTGTGACTAGTACACCCAATATTTGCACTTCATGCAAATGAAACTTTAAGAATGTGGAGTGGGGGAGTATATATTTATCTACCAGAGCATTTGATCTAACAGTCTGGATAAGCAGAAAGAGAGTAAAACAATGTTTTATGCTGTACTTACTGATGAAATTGATTCATTTGTTTTTTACTGCACTTTTATAATCAAATTTCCCCCCTTCATTAAGGAAATTACTCAGACAGTCTGGGACAACAGAGCCTGAGACCAACTACTGTAATGTGATTACAAAGACTTTCTTCTGCTCTGCTAAAGCTGCACAGCAGAGGGAGAGAGCGGGCGGGCAGACAGACGGACGGACGGACGGACAGACAGACCTCTTCAGCTGTATCATTAAAGTATACGGTGAAGTATTATATTTCGTTATGATCGGGTATATTACAATGTGCTTCCACTCAAGCAAGAAATTGCCCCAGTACCTAAAGATCCAAAATGAAAGGATGGGACTGGAGCTTGTGACTTCTTTTACCTTTGATTTGCAGGGACTGAATTGAAATTCATTGTGAATAGGGATTTTCCCCACCAGGTGGTGGTGCAGGGCTACCATAAACATCCACAGGGGCCGACTGACACACAGCAAGGAGCATGGGCCTGCAGCCTGAACATAAAGCAACGTCTTCATGTTTATTTAACCACAAACACAGCCCTACATTTTGTTTGTTTATTATTCAGTCCCAAGCCTCCAGGTTTATTCGTCGCCATAGAAAACACGAGATATTTACTGTGATTAAAGGGTACAGGAGCAGATAAGCTCTCAGGCCACTACAGTAGTTAGTTCCACGGTTTGATTCCTATCTGGAACTGAAGGTCAAGTGCGGTATTAGAGTCCAGCCACAGACTAGTATGCCATTAAATGAAAACCTTCTGACTCAATTTTCTCTTTAACAACTGCAATAAATCAGAGAACCACCACCGTTGAGCAGATCGTGCCTCTAACCGGGGGGTTGCCAGTTGTTCCCAGCCTGGCCAGTTAGTTCAGTATTGATTCTCTGTCTCGCTGTGGTATCACTATAACCATCTGACCTATGAATGCTGAGCTCACAGCGCTGGCCTGAAATCCAGAGCACACTGCTCTCGGAGGGGAGAGGGAACACCAGGACTCAGCTGTGGGCTCCAGACTGCAGCGCTTTCAGTAAAAGAAACTTCTGCCCTCGACTCATGTCCCGTTTGTGTTCCTGCTTGAGCCTCTACAACTTTAACCATATCCGCCCTCACGTGCCTCGACCCCATACACACACATACACAGACTTTTAAAAACTCTGTGATAAATCCTTCAGTCCTTGGGCACCTTGGAGAGAATTTGAGACTTGACAGGATCCATGCATCCATTATCTTTAACCTGTTCAGGGTCGCGGGGGGTCTGGAGCCGATCCCACCCCGGACAGGTCGCCAGACTATCGCAGGGCTGACATTTAGAGACAGACAACCATTCACGCTCACATCCACACCTACGGGCAATTTAGAGTCATCAATCATCCTGCGTGTCTTTGGACCATGCCGGAGAACCTGGGGAGAACCCACGCCGACAAGGGGGCCCGTCTAGCCCGGGTGCTAACCACCACACCACCTTGCAGCCCCACTTGACAGGATGTTGAAATGAAAATTATTATTTAAAAAAAACACATTGAAGGGCCATCATAGCGGGGATGAATTACCAAGCATGCCAATGGGGCCACTGCCTCTGACCATAGGGGCCTCAGACCAAGATAGACTGAAGGCAAAGCACCTTGACACACAAGTTATTATTAGAAAGCTAAAATACAGCGGATGACTCCGAGTAAATAAATGACATTAAATGCAATAAGTAAGGAGTGTGATGGGACGCTCTAGAGCAGCGGTTCCCATCCTGGGGGTCGGGACCTCTCAAGGGATCCCAAGTCAAAAAATTAAGAATTCAGTATTGGATGTGTATATCTTTTTCGGATTTTGCTTTTCACCTGTGAAATATTAGATTCTTTCAGGCCTCTAAAAATCCTTTAAATGAAAAAAATCAGAGAAGAAAAATCCTGCTTTGGTTGAACTGCTCAACTTATACTAAAGACATAGTCTGTGCTGATGAGTCACAAGTGGGCATTACTTCTTTTCACAATCAGCTGTTCACACAAGCATAAAGTCCTGACTCACAAAACTTCAAAAGAAGTCCACTTCCATTGCATACTTTACTGTGGGCTGCTTCTGAAACACAATGGAAGGATCATAAAAAAATATGATTTCCATTCCATTGCCGTGCAGCTGCATATCTCTGCTTGCTCGGTCAGGCCCTACTTATGTGATAAAATGATTATCCAGCTCAAGGTGTGTGCGGATCAGCTCCCACCTGTGCAGAAGTAATTACAGTTTCACTGCTCTCCCACAGTTATTGGGAACGAGAACATAACTCTGAAAGTGAGACACTAACTACACACTGACCCGCCTGATGGAGTGTAATACACCTGCACATTCACACTCGTGCACAACCATGTATTTCCCCTCCACAAACACACACACATGCAGAAACACCATTCTTAAAAATGATACATGCTCGTAAATTAGGCCTCATTTTGAGGGATTTATTGCATTCTAATAAGCATCAATGTGATTTAATACAGCAAGTAATGTTACATGTTACACAACAATTTAAGACTTCTGGAATCTGTAAAACAGCAGTGAAAATGATCCAATATAGAAAAATATGTGTTGCCATAATCAGCATATTCCCACCAGCAAACAAAGGCATTAAACAATTCTTTAGGTTTATCATCTACTGAGGGACACACTAAATCTGGGAATTGCACTAATCTATCTAATAATTTAGCCATGTGAGAGTTCAGAGGTAGACCACTGGAATTGAATAAACACCAGTCCAAATAATTCAAGGGAAAGTCCTGGAAGACCAATTCAAGAACAACTGTCTGTGCTTGCACATGACCAGCTGTTTCGAGAAGGGAAATGGCTATACATGAATTATGTATTTTATCTACAGATAGGACTTGACATGATTGAAAATGCATCATTTCAAAATCCATTACACATAAAATGAATTTCCCCCAACCAATAAGTCAAGATAAGATTTTTGGGAAGCATATCATCAACAGTTCTTATGACATTTATTGCATTACCACATTCATAAAAGTAGCTAGAGGCTGACAAATTATTAAGGACGGGAACATTCTTATTTCATTCGTGGCAAACAAGTTCCGACCAACCACTTTTCATAAGAGTTTCAGCCCCTCAGGTGATGTTTTACACTCATCCTCGTGCATAGCGTCACGCTGCATATCCTGTTCAGGGTGTGTTCATAAAGGTGTGTTTGTATATCCAGCCTGACAACGAAAAATATTGATGAATTGAGAGAAATAAATTCTGCTCTGAACTATAAACAACAATGGTCAATTGTGAGGGACTGTGAGCAATGCGAGCTTTTTGTTGGGAGGAAATTTGGCCCAGATTTCAAACAGATATTCAAATACTCTACTGCACTTCCTCCCTGACCAGTGTCGAGCTGGTGAGTCCACTATGCAAAGCAGAAATTTGACACTGGCATCACCTCACGACTACTCAGTTTCTAAAAATCTATTCTAACCATCTAAAACGTCACTTTATGAACACACCCCGTAATTTACACACCAAGGCAGAGGAAAGGTAGTGCCATCCAAGCTAATTACACAAGGTCCATTAACAATTTAAATCCTTTGAATTTTATCTGATAATCTATTTCAGCCAGCATCTCCTGTTGGAACATGATAGCTTAATTCCATTTGTGTTGGTTCAGCGTATCCCAGAAACATATGTAAAGACCAGGCTGTGTCTCGGTTTGTTGCTGTTGTTGTTCATCGTCTCCCGGCCATCGAGTCTCCCTCGAAGGCCCCATTGTCATAGCGATGCTGATGACTCTCCGGGTCAGTCAGTGGCACCTCGTACATGGGTTCCCCTCCCGTCACTGTGATCACTGTGACCTCTGGTGGTGACTCGGCGGACAGGCTCTCTTTTGTTTCCTCGTCAACCCCCAGGGCCTTCAGGATGTCGCACTTACACATGGGGCAGGTCCGCCTCTGCAGCAGCCAGGGCTCGATGCAGGCTTTGTGGAAGATATGGTCGCATGTTAGCACCGTCACCACTTCCCCTGCCTTGTAGGACTCGATGCACACGGCACACACATGGGAGTCAGAGGTGGTTTCCTCATCCCCCGTCTTGAGTTTGCGCACTTGCAGAAGCCCAATCGCTTTCGTGGCCTCCGATTTCAGCTTCCTCTCGGTGCGCCTGTGCGCGTTCAGACTGTAGAGACGGTTCGCAGAGATAAACACAAAGTAGGCGATGGAGGCGGCAGTCACGATGAAGAAGGCGATGGACAGGAAGTAAAGCCAGTATGTGTCCATCCAGGTTCCATGAGGGCTGCCTAAATCAATAAGCATCCTCACATCTGTCCCATTGATCACCAACCGCACAATCTCCATGCCCTGAGAGTTGCCAATCATGATAGTCACAATACCCGTTGCATCCGAGTGTGCCATGTGATTGGTGCTGTTGCCACTGCCATCCATATTATACACAACCACACCAGCTGCTCCTTGACGTTTGGCAGCGTTGATCTTCTGACTGAAGGTGCAGTTGCCCCTTTTTACCAGGGCTATCCAAGGTGGGCTGCTGGAATTGCGATTGTAGACGGGATCCGAGCCACAGCCTTTGGGGTCTCCCTTGGGAAGCGCAACAACACCCGAGGCTTTCTCCAGGAGAGAGTTACGACCGTACAACCCACAGTCACAGTATTTGTCCACAGTCTCGTTGTTTCTTTTATCGTAGCTTATTTCCACCATGGCTGTCCAAAACACCAAGGCAGCTGAATAGTGAACGAGCCCTGACAAACACAGCAAAAGCAGCAGACAGTGTTGTGTCTTACCCATGGTAACGCTCGTCTTAAAAACAACAGCCCTTTGTTAGCGTCTTCAGCTTCTTCAAAACTGCTTTGTTAGTCCCAGTTCCTGGTTGGTTCGAGCAACAGCGGTCTGACTGCGGCTATGGTTTCATCCAAGCTGCTGTCTACTGTAATCTGATATGAGCCTTTGGTAACACAACACGAGCTATGCGTCAGCCACTCACCTCTCGTTATCTTCCTGAACCTTGAACACTGAGCACTCCTGGTATAGAGAGCAGGGTGCTGGTATTCAACAAGTAAAAGTGCACAAAACACATAGACCTGTGCAGTTTCGAGAGCCAAGAAACAACCTGCGAGAAGGCAAGACGCGATAAGCAAATGATAAGATTTTGTGGACATAGGTCAATAACACGGAACAATCCTGTGGAGCTAATAAAAGCTGCTATGTTTTCCCTTGTGTAATGACGAGCACAGCAACTCAGCCAGTCTTTCTGGTTTATCTCGTTTCCTTCCCCTATTTCTGTGGCTGAGGTCACTGTTGTGGAAACCAAACTGACAAGTCATACTCCTCTACCTTGTGGTAATTTACTCTGAAAGACAGACAGTCTGCTTCTACCACACACTTTAACAAACACACACACACACACACATTATAAATGTGACCTTTAAATCACTTTAGAATTGCACATATTATATAATAATGTTTGCGTTTGGATACCTCGAAGCACTTAAAGAGCTTTATTCTACACAGCTAACATACCAGTGACAACTGAAACGAATAGGGTATTGCCGAGTTTCCATTGTAAGTGAAAGCACACACACGCACACACACTGCAGTGCACTGTCCTGACTAGAATGTGCTATTAAATAATTTATCTCAGTGGGACAAACATCTGTAAATAAAAAAAGAGCCAGGTATTTATTCTTAGTATGGCTGCAAACCCACAGTTCTTGATAACAGGAACAATGGTGGTGCTATGACCCTTAACTTCCTGAAACTGAAATAATTACCTCGACACAGCAGAAAGTCAAGCACAGCGTGAACCCCATTAATACCATATTAACCGCAGAGAAAAATGGTGTGTTTTTCTGTTTAAACATTCTACTGTAATGGTGTGACTTTAGGAATCACATTTTCAAGATATCCTAAATGATATCCTCTGACGCTTTCTGCTTCAATGCTGACATCTCCTGGTCAAAGACAATAACTGTGATACTCACCAAAACACCCAGGCCGATACACTGATAATGAGAGCTGATATAATATGCGATATACTGTAAGTCTATGTCATGAATACAGACCATTTCGTCCCAAATATACCTGGAATTTTAGTAGTATTCCATATTGTAGGCTAGGCTGGTGATAAAAATAGTCCAACATATAAAAATACCACGAAATAAATGTAATTAGAAAACTGAAGTCACATCTTCTGCAGAGTGCATATGTTATATGCTAAATTAATATATAAGGATTATTAAATAGATAAGTTATGAATGAATACAGACAAATATACAGTATATTTTAGCCCCCCAAAAGTAAACAAATGTTTTCACTTAGTGAAAATGGCAGAATAAAATAAAATGGAAATTGGGGGGTAAATCTTGTAGAAATAAATCGAAAATCTTAGAAAAAATGATATTTTGAAACGGCTGGAATTAAATAAAAAACAATAAACTCAGTTATTGGGAATTTAACTTATGTATAAAATGTATTGGATTGTTTCACAATTTCATAGTTGAATTTATACGATTATTTATTGAATCATTTCATTTATTTAAACACCTTGGATCTCCATAACATCCAAGATGGTCACACACAGCTACACATTTCCTTAAAAGCAGTCAACAAGGTGACTCGCAAGTTTTAAAAAAAACCATGAAACCAATCCAATCATACCACACAGGGGCGCCATTTACTCAATGTTTACGTCATCATTTGACAGTAAACAACACTGTTTTGACTAAATGTCCTCCATCATAACAAAAGAAGCACGTGCAGCCTGATGGGGTTATCGGGCTGGCCCTTCTAATATAATCAAAATGCTAAAACGACCTTTAAGGAATTAATAATTTGGCAATCCCGAGGATATTATGCTTTGCATTCATATAACCTGCTACTTCAGTGTAGAACATGCAATCGTATCAGTTCAGAGCAGGGCAACTGACAAAGAAATAAGGAAAGACACTTACGACTTGTTTTGAAGCTCTGTCTCTGCAGTGAAGACAGACCGTCCATCTGTTTAATGTCTCCTGAGCACACATGTTCAGTGGTCTGTGTGGGGGCAACGTGGGACATGTCCAAACAAGCCCCACACCCTGTCACACCCCTTTTCGGTCCGAGAGTCTACTTGTTGGGTGTAGCCTATAATAAGAGTTGTAATATAAGTTAGTTCAAGCCTATAGTTTGAGTATTCATACATGTGTAGCCTAACTGTCACATCTGTATTGTTATAGATCATAAACCATGCAGGGTTGGAAAGAGTACTAGAGTTTTATCCTCAAATAAAAGTATGGTTTGGAGTTTGTACTCAAATACAAGTAATATTAATTTGATAAAAATGTAGGCGATATATAAAAGTAAAACGTAGGTCAGTTAAAATGCACTCTGAGTAAACGTTACTGCGTTACATTTATAAAAAGGTAAGGATTGTGAAGAACATAAGTTTGGCCTATATAACGGAATTATGGGATCTAAGTAAAAACAAACACAGTTAGGTCACAATATAGAAAACTCTAACGTAAACAATAAAGGACCCCACGGCGGGTGCACACCTGAGCGCGTGCGCACACACAAGCATACGTACAGTGCGTTGAGGTTGACGAGAGAGCTATAGTGTCACCGTTTATGAATGAGTGTGTTGTGTTCACCTGTCTGACTGCGAGTCTTGTCCACCGCCGAGACCTCCTCAATCTTCTCAGTGCACAATACCACCAGTCCACCCTGGCCTCCCTGTCCCAGTAGGCCTGTTACCAGTCCACGCAGCGTCTCTGTCCCAGTATAACCAGTATGCACCTGTGGCTCAGGCGACGTGCTAGGTGTGTTTCATTTGGGTCACTTGGCGCGCGGGCCTGGTGGTGGATTAAAATGACTGCTTAAATGAATCTATGCAAACTGTTTAACGTGGACTGTATACAGCGTGGACACAGGTCCAGTGACGTCAACCGTTGGTTTCTGAAGAGCCGGTGTGTTTGTGAAGTTTACATTTTGGTTTTAGCCGGGTGGCTCCTGTCCGGCCGTCGCCATCTTGGCAATGACGTTACACCCTCTCGGCTGATCCTCCCCCCAAAAAATGGGCAAAGAGGTGGATCGTCGGTGGCGTTGAGGCGGGTCCAGGTGACTCAAAGGTGACAGCTAGCGGCACCCATCTGTCACTCAAAGCGGCCTAAATTGAAATATAATTTAAACCTGTGAGTTGTATAAAAATGTACCCCTTGTTCCGTTGTAGCAATTATCTCTGGTACCAGGCTGTAAACATGTTTATTTCTGCTGCAATCTTTTTATTTTAGTTTTTATTCTAGTCTGTATTGAATACCACTTGAAATGCAGCAAGTAATACTTGATATATTTCTTATCTTTAGCTTTTTGTTTTATTAATTACAATTTTTTTAATAACTAAAAACGTCACAGTGTAGAGAGTAGCCTAAATGCGATTCGTTACAGTTCTAACCCCGAAACCAATACATCTCTCTTCATCTATATTGACATAGATCTACAGATGTCTGATCGTCTGCTGATGAAAGCTCCGATCCCTTTGTCACACACACACACACATACTATATTGTTGTATTTATTCCTCGTTTTATAGTAACTGAAAATTATGGCTTTTGCTAAACCCTGTCAGAGGCCTATACCAACAATAAAAATATACTTTTTTGGTATCTCTTTGTAGCCTCTAATAAACATGAAGGTAAAGTATAACTCATAAGCATCAAAGCATTGCTGTCTGACCTGCAGAGCTCCCTACATACATTTCTGTTACCAGGAAGAAAAGAAAGTACTTTCCCACAATCAAAGACGTGTGTTAAAGTGGGTTTCATCATGAATGGCTGCACCCCTGATGTGCCTCAGGGCTGGAGCGTGTTCAAGTCGAGTGGAATGACTGCAACTCGTGATACCCCCCCCCCCCTATTCTTGGTAGCGCCAGGCCTTAAAAGATGCTTTCTCGCCCCAATAATCTCTCTCTGCAGCTTGTAGTCATAGTGTAGTGTTAGATGCAGCACCTTCAAGCAGCTTCAGCCAACATTTAACCTTTTTTTTGCAAGCTTGTTATAGAGTAGAGAAACATATGACTCCTTGGAATACTTGCTAGTTTCACTGCATTGACTCCAGTGACCATGAATAACATTAGGCCTGCAGCTCTGAAGAAAAAGAGGAAAGATTTTATACCTTACTTTTTAGGATTCGTAATATTTTTATATTGCGCGGTTCATCTTGTATCATTCACAGCAAAAACAGCTCAGGAAACCCATTCTACCAGGGTGCGTCGGGCTCTTGGTAAGAATCATCATTGTGTGTGATTTTGCTTATTTTATTATTGTGTGTTTTTCAATCTCCCAAACTTTTAAATACATTTGTTTCATTATTCTAATCTGTTTTAGTGTGTCATTACAAATGTCACAATTTGGTGTTTTTACAAAGTGTGAGTGATCGTTTGTGGTTCAGCAACTGTGACAGTGTTTGCTCTGTAATCCTCATGTCTTATTGGCATGAAAGTACCGTGTAACTGCCATTAAGCGCTCAAACAATCTCGGAGCAGTAGGCTGCTCCATCAACAGGCTGGTTTGTTTGTCAGTGATGTGTGTGTGTGTGTGTGTGTGTGTGTCCTGCTGTTTCAGAGAATGAGACAGAATGCATCTCACCACCGTCCTCCGAGTTTCCTGACGGCTTCTTCACGGTGCAGGAGAGGAAGGATGGAGGCCTCGTTATTTATTTCATGCTTATTTTCTACATGCTTCTGGCTGTCGCAATAATCTGCGACGATTACTTTCTGCCTTCCTTAGAAGTGATCAGTGACCGTGAGTGGCACATCATTGCATTGCATCATCACATGAACTGTAATGCTGTGATATACTGTGATTATGGGAATAATGAGGGTTTACAAGATTACTACTACAGGCAAAGGATTAGGGTGCACAGATATTGTAGGGCTCTTAAGAAAAAGCCTAACTAAATATGTGGACAGATTTAGTAAATGTCAGTTTGTTTAACTGATTGAACAGTGTTTTCAGTTGGATTTTAATAAAAGGAAATGGTGTTTCCATTCAAATGAACTAACGATTATTTCATCATCTATTAATCTGTCTATTTTTTTTTCCAATGAATCAGTTAATCATTTGGCCGATGAAAAGTCTCACAAAATAGTGAAAAATGCCCAACACAAGTTAGAGCCCAAGGGGATGTCTTCAAATGTCTTGTTTTGATTGACCAACAGACCAAAACCGAAATATAGTCAGTTCAAAATGATTTGAAACTGAGAAAAGCAGCAAATGCTCACATTTTAGAAGCTGGAACCAGCAAATATTCAGAATTCTTTCTTGATTGAATGATGGAATGATTGTAAACAAGCTGTAAACGTCACTAATAAACAACATAACATACTAGTACAAAATGCATTACCAAAGCCCTAAAATACATATTACAGGCATGAAGCATCAGTTTTCATTCCCTGGTCTTATTAGAGGTTGTTTGTGCTATTGTTGCATTGGACTGTGTATAATCAGGTGTTTCTATTATTTTGTACACACCATGTAAATTGTCACGTACTCTTGGTGTTTCATGTGTCTCTCTCAGGCCTGGGACTGTCTCAGGATGTAGCAGGAGCCACATTTATGGCAGCTGGGAGTTCTGCACCTGAGCTGGTCACAGCCTTTCTGGGTAATTATGCATTACTACAATGTTGATGGTGACACCACCATGCGTGGTCACTGTCACTGTGTCCCCTCACAACCCGATGTACTGTGACTCCGCCACCCTTTGGGAATAGAAATAGACTGTGGCCTTTGATCAGGACGTCCTCTCAGCTCTTTATTTGCTCTCCAGACATGTCCTCTTGCTTTTTCCTCAATGCTTCCACATTGTCCCTGTCCTCAAAGCTAAGACGTGCCTTTATTTGTGTCAGGTGTGTTCGTGACAAAGGGAGACATCGGGGTCAGCACCATTGTGGGATCAGCGGTCTACAACCTGCTTGGAATCTGCGCAGCATGTGGACTCTTGGCCCCTCTGGTACATTATGACACACGCACACACTCGCAAAGGTTAACTACATGTAAGAGCGGCACCTTTACTGGGTCAAAGCGGAAGAATCATTGTGCGCTGTGTTGTATAAGCTTATACAACATGTATTTTTGTTTCCTTTATCAGGCCGGGCGCCTCACCTGTTGGCCACTGTTCAGGGACTGCCTGGCATATGCCATCAGTGTTTCTGCTGTTATTGCCATCATTTCTGATAACAAGGTGTACTGGTGAGTTCAAGATCTGGTTGATCTTCAGACCTTACAGCACTGACATGTAAGGTGGCCGTAAAAGCCGAAGTCAGATACAGCTATTTATTGCATCTTGTGACACTAAAAGGAACAAATGAAAACTGATCTCCAACCAAGTACGAGCAGTACAGTACTGTGACTCACTGACATTTATTACACTGACAGTACAACGCAATAAATGTTCCTTGAATAAGACAATAACACATCATAAACACAGCACCAGTAGCAGTCCTTGTTTATGAAAGATTTCCATGTGTATTACTTACCTTTGGTGATAGCACAGTGAGACACAGTATTAGCTTAAAAACAGCACAGCTTTTCTATTGTCAAGATATGGAGTTTCATAAAATTGGAACCACATATATGTGTTGTAAGATATATATAAAAAGAGTATATTAAAACTGTACTAAATAGTAACCAAAACATGGCTAAACACAATATATTGGTGTGAAGAAGAGGTCTAGTAATAGAAACAAGACCATTTTTTTAGGAAGAACTGCCAAAGTAATCCCCTTAAAGATGCTAAATTCAACATTCAGAGCATTAATATAGAAGCAAACAACTATTTGCTATGTTAAAATATAGTTAAGTAAATCTACCCGGAACAGATAATGAAATCACTCTCCCTCTTCCTTGTTGACATACCGCGTGTGCTTTTAGTGCATATTCGTGCACGTGAGCGTGACCCACTGGCTAGCTCACGGCTGCTGCAATGCTGCGGTTACAGCTGTAATGGCGTTGTCACAGAAGCTTAGCACCCCACCCTTGGGTTCCCCCTGAGGTAAACACTGTTAGCACTGTTAGCTGCGAGCCACCGGTTCAGCCGTCGCTATGTCGAGACGTTGAGCGGCAGTAGAAATACTCCCAATGTCGTATATAGCACCTTCAATCTATTGATTTTCACAATTGAAAATATATTTAAAAAATCATCTTTTAAGCAAGGTGAATTTGATTAGATATTGCCAGAGCTTTTGACCGCCCTCTTCAGCAAATTGAACTTGAAGCTCAGGTGTTATCACTTATGGCCAAGTTCCATTCGCTGAAGCAGGTCTTGGGACTTTATTCACCACTCACATCTGTCCCCAAGGTGAAGAACGAATGCCAGGGTTCAAAGCGTTTTGTTTACAGGTATGACGCTGCGTGTCTGCTGCTGGTCTATGCCGTCTACATCGTGGTTCTGTGCTTTGACCTTCGCATCAGTGAGTTTGTCCTGAGGAAGCTGAGCCCTTGCTGCACCTGTCTGGGTAAAGGATCAGGTGAGAAGACTGAGACGCAGCCTCTGATGGGCTGGAGCGACGAAACCAGTCTGCGAGTTCACAGTCGCTCCAGGACAGACAGCGGGATCTTCCAGGACGACTCGGGATACTCTCACCTGTCCCTCAGCCTGCATGGCCTCAACGAGATTCCTGAAGGTAAAACACGTCTTCTTCGTGCACTGTTTTCCAGTATGACGCGTTACAAATCCGCTCATAGCAGGTTCGTCTGCTTGCATTCAAGCAGAGCATAAAAGTGTGTTTGCCGTGCCGGAGAGCGACCTGAAGCGGATCCTCTGGGTTCTGTCTCTGCCCATCATCACTCTGCTTTTCCTGACCATCCCTGACTGCAGGAGAAGGTTCTGGAAGGGATGGTTCATGATAACCTTCCTCATGTCAGCGGTCTGGATCTCAGCTTTCACGTACATAATGGTGTGGATGGTCACTGTTGTCGGTGAGATCATTGTTTTAACTTTCTGTTTTTCTGTCAGTGGTTTCAGTTTAGTTGCAGGTGTACATCTAATGCACCACGTTATAGAGCCTTTGTTGATCACAAGTGTTTGAAACTTGTGAGAAAAAATGTCAGATTTGCAGAGAATCACATGTTGGTCTGCTGGCTAATTCCTGAGATGCCATTGTCCTGGAAAGTTAAGAGGGGGGTTATTGTAGCTCCAGTGGGCCATGTTCATAACCAGGATTACAGCCTGCTTCACCCTGAAGGAAACAGTCATGTGAGCGGTGTACGTACAGACGTACCCACAGGCACTGGTCCAACAACATAAAACTGACCGAGGATCAGGCCAAAAGGGGTATCTTCATCATGTGACGGTGGTAGGTCTACTGGAGTATAATGAGATTATTATCCCATAGTCGTCAGACCGGCTCACATGGAAGGAGAGTTTAGTCTTATGAAAGAGCAGCAGGCATGGGACTGAGCAGGTACAACTCAAGCATACATTGTGCCATTGAGGATGTTGGTTCAGAATATCTGGACTAACTGTAAATATTTGTTTCCTTCACAATGGCCTCCAACCAGAGTTATAGCTGCTAGGTTGTGTCCTCTGTAATGTGTCTGGAAATTCGGGTGGTTTATAGTGGATTTAAAGATTACAAACATTACACCTGTTGGATTTTGTAAGACTTGTTCAAATATTGTTAGACTGAATTTGGCAGTTTGGCTGAAAAAAAATCAATAAAATTAAAATTAAAGGAAGTAAGTAGTCTCGATTGCACGACCACCACAAGCGTAGAATAAAAAATGTACAGTACTTAAAAAGTACACCTTGTGGAGTCAAGTTAGGGACTTATTGAAATTTTCTTAGGTGGGCGTGGTTCCGCTTGTGGAATTTGGTCTTGTGACCTCAGTATTTCTAAAATCCTGCTACAGGCCTGCCTCTAGTGATTATTTCTTAACCCTCTAGCTACAGTAAAGATCAGCTGCTGTTCTCACCCCATAGCTAGCTTGATGTTGTTGGATGTGGACTTTGATTGTGGGTTTGTATTATGTTTACACAGGCGAGACCCTTGGCATCCCTGAAACAGTTATGGGACTCACTCTCCTTGCTGCTGGAACCAGTATACCCGACACCGTAGCCAGTGTGATGGTGGCCAGAGAAGGTAAACATCAGTGTCACGTTTTATCAGTTGCAATTCACAGCCATCCTGAATACAGTTTGTTAAGATGGTAAAATTGACTTCCATTTATATAACTTTTCAAAGCAATTTACATTACGTTGATACACTGAAGGCAGAGTTTGCCATACAAGGTGCCAAACTGCTCATCCAGATCTAGTTTAAATGCTCAATCACAGCAATTTTGGGTTCATTATTTTGCCCAAGGACACTTTGTTATGCAGACTGGAGAAGCTGGGGTTCGACCCACCGATCTACCAATTAGTGGACGACCTGCTCTCAGTCGCCCATACTTTGACGCCAGCCATAACTAAACGATTATCAAAATTAAGAATAATGTGCTTCCCAAGTTCCTTCTACATATAGTTGGGCACTGCGCTCTTGCTGAAAGACATCTAAGTGGGAACTATTGATTACTCATTCACTTTGCTGACTCACTTTTCCAGCAGCCATTATAGAACATGACAAGTTAAAAATACTTATATTGTCTTAGTGAGACCTAAATCCAGTCTGTAAACATGTTTTCTGTTTATCAGGGAAAGCCGACATGGCCATGTCCAACATTGTGGGCTCTAATGTTTTCGACATGCTGTGCCTGGGCCTGCCTTGGTTCATCAAAACTGTCTTTGTGGACACCAACAACCCTGTAGAGGTCAACAGCACTGGACTGGTCTTCATTTCCGCCACGCTCCTCCTTTCCATCGTCTTCCTCTTTGTATCCGTTCACATTAACGGATGGAAGTTGGACTGGAAGTTGGGACTCGTTTCTCTCTTCTGCTACATCGTCTTTGCCACTCTGTCCATCCTCTACGAGCTGGGGATCATTGGGAATAATCCCATAAGATTGTGCAGTGACTGAGATCTGACCTCACCAGGACTGAAGCCACATTGACTCAAACAGCAGCCCCAAAACACTTCCCAAAACTGTGAAGTCTAAGGAAATGTGGTCCCGCTCACACAATAAGATATTGTGCCATAGAAGACGTGTGCTGGTCACATCTCATGAAGAGGATGATCTCAATTCATATATATAAATATATATATTTAACTTAAGGTGGAAGTGTGCCAAAGATCATTCTCTTGTGTGTGCCTGTCAGATCCAGGCCTGCCTCATCATCATACAACTAAGACCCATTATCATGTTCTGCAATTGTTCTTCTTACTCAAGGCCCAAAAACAGAAAATGGGCCGTCCCAGGAGTGACTGCTGAGTTCAAATAAATCCAGAACTGAAGAGTCAGAGTCAAGTAATAAAAGGTGTCAACTAAGCTTATTTGGCCTTGTCCTTTTGAAGTGGGTGAAAAGAGGCCCGGTCTACACAACACTGAACTGATAAGCTTTTATGAGCAAGTCTTAATGGCTTTCAAAGTTATAAAATTAGTAAAAAACAAAACAAACAAAAAAAACTTTCCACTTGTCTTCTAACTAAAAAGTAAAACATTGTAAATGGACTATCTTGTTCTACTGAAACAAAAAAAATACCACAACACTTGGGAGTTCTGGCAATTTAAATAGCTTCCTGTGATAAGTGTCAAGAGTCCAAGCCTGATAACATCCGTCCATTCTGTTCTCACTTTATTCCACCCTCTGCGGTTAATGTGCAAACTGCCACTTTTCAAGAGGCCACTGCACGGCAGTGTTGAGCAATGATGGAAAACAGAAAAACCACCAGGTTTAAAAATTAAAAAGTTTATTTGTCCAAATAAACGTCAAATTAAAAGGGGTTTACAAAACAAAAGATAAGAACTATGTAGTATATATAAACAAAACAAAAAACAGTGGACACATGGAGATATGAAATAATTGTGTTTTTAAAACAAAACAAAAGATCATTGGCAAAAGGGCTGAATGTGGAAGTGTGTTAGCGTGACTTCTACAAAAGATTTAGGCGTTCCGATCGATACGGACGTCCACCTCTCGGCCATTGATCTTGGTTCCATTCATCATCCTGCAGGCCTTCTCAGCACTATCTGGACAGTCAAATCTCACTGTTCCACAGCCCTTTGACTTCCCGTTCTCCATCTTGATCTCTGCGAACATTACCTGGCCTGCAGTAGACAAGAACGAGCCATGAGTGCATTCCAAAACCACAACGTTTCACCAAGTGTTGATGAATGTTAAACCGGAAATTTGGGCATTCTGGTCCAAAGACCATTCGTGATAAAGTGTCAGAGGGAGGTCTTTGAGCGGCTCATAAATTTAGCAATAAAGATTGAATTCATACGAAACAAAAAGGACGTACCGCATTGACTGAACTTCTCCTTCAGCTTTTGCCAAGTCAGATCATAGGACAGCTGCAACGCACAAACGTACACAGTTAATACATTTATGAACATTAACATATTTGAGGCTTTGCAAAACTGGTACAAGATGCAATTAATAAGATGAGTGCATTAATAACGCTTATAGTACCAATACAACATTAAGAGTCTGACTCAACGGGAAAACATGCCAACAGTTAAAACCTTCCTGTGAACTACAGCACCATTTCATTCATCTAAAGCACACCAATCATGAACTAATTCACAGCATCATTAGCATTTATATTAATGCACGGCACGCTCGGGCTGTTTCCCTTTAAAACCGTAATCAATACTGGGGCCTCAAAGCATAGAGGAAATGCATCTATCAATGGAACGGTCATTAAATAAGTGGGAAGGTCTTTGAGATGGCTCTGTAACTCCAATCATAATATATAAAGACACTTCTATACGAGCAAAGTTCTCACATAATCCACACTTACATTTCGCACAAAGATCTGACAGCCAGCTTTGGACCCAGAGCCTCGGTCAGACATGCCTCCACCCATGTGACTCGGCCCACCACCTCCATAGCCGCCAAAGCCGCGGCTCATGTCCATTCCTGACATGCCCATGCGGTCAAAGCTGGACCCCATCCGGTCCATCGACATGTTTCCCATTCCACCACCTGCAATTTAACACACATCACAGAGCTATTTAATCTAATATACTGAATATTTTAATACCGGCATATCGAAACATCCATTCATTAATCATTACAATGATTCCTTTCACCATCTTCAACACAAAGTTTCTTCAACACTCAATTTCGTTTTTTTCTGTACAACTCCGTTAGCATGATTGTAATCACACAACAAGTGCAAAGCAGTGGCATCTGAGCACACAAACGGTGTGCACCTGCTATTTTGGTTCATGTTCATGTACGTGCAGCAGTGCAAAGTGCAAAAGGGCCGGCTGAAGTGGAGAACAAATCGGAGGGTGTGGTGATTAATAAATAAATGGCCAATTACATCACTGTTCTCATGGCTCTGAAACAGGTGTGCCATTCACAGTGAGATAAGACAACAATACAATCGATGGACAAATGGAAGGAGATGAAGAGCTGCACAACGTGAACACACACAGGACCACAAATCTGCGGGTTTGTTTTTACTGAAATTGTACAATGATCAAAGAAAGAAAGAAAAACCAAAAAAAAAAAAATGTAGATGAAGCTCATTAAAGGCCCGTATCAATCCAACGGTATTTCAATATTCATTTTACGGTATGACGCGTCAAAAATAATGACATATCAAGAAACAACAGCGCTCTCACCGATACGCCATCCGACAAACCGCGTTATAATGGACAAGTCTGATGTGTGTGAAGGTTTATGGGGTTATTCTGTTATCTTGGCTGCATTTGTACACAAATTTAGAAAATGGCAAACCCTGCCTGGAGCGCCGTGCTTAATGGCAATAATAATAATAATAATAATAATAATAACGGTCAGAGCACTACTTGTGCTAGTCGTTGGCGGCCAAGAATCTTTTCAATATAGACTAAAACTATAAATTAGAAGACATGTTATAAATATTATGTCTGGCTCCACACAAGTATGTAACATAGATCTGTTGATCCTACTTCAGTCTGCATCATTCATCATTGTTCAGGGACTTCAAGCTAATGCTTTGACTGAGGTCACCTGATTGAAGGAGTCTATTGGGCCTCCTTGTTACCATCACTTATACAGCAAGGCCTGACACTTTATGACTTTATACATCACGGTACACAAACACTCATTCCTCCTTTTACACGATCGGCCGTATAAACTGTCAAAAGACTATAAAATGGTAATGGCTAATAACTTTCAGATGTCAACAGTAATAGAGAGCTAACTGAATGTAGCTTACAAGTGCCTCCAAAGCTAATAGTTATCTACAGTATAGGGGAGGAATTGACTCGTTTTGTAAAAATATAAAAAATAAAATCAAAGTATTGATACACACCACTAAAATTGATTTAACATATTTAGAAACGCTGTAGATGTAATATCTTAATACCTATTCCAGTCCCCATGTGCCCCATGCCACCACTGCTCATGCTGCCTCCAAATCCTCCACCTAAAGGAAGAGAAGGCAAGTCGGTGTAGATTAGACCACAGCTCAACGATTTCACATCAGCCCGTACACAAAAAGCAACCCCTAAATCTCATCATAACTCAAACCCAAGCTACACAGAGGAACATGCATAACCTCCACTGTGTCTGCAGTGCAATGATGAGAGGATTCAGGGTTGTCAGAGTATCACTTACCCATTCCTCCAAAAGAGTCGCCAAATCCTCGATTCATTGGCATGTCGGTGTGGCCAAAGTCACGATCCATCCCACCCATTCCTGACCGGTACATATCTCAACACAGAAAGAAAAGTAACCTTAGCCTTAAGTTACCAATAACCCAACGGTGCCTCTCATTGTTTACAGTACAACATCCCACAGCTGAGCCTCATCTCTAACTAGTATGAGTGATCACGCTCACTCACCTCCCATCCGGCCACCTGGCGCCATGTCTCTCCCTCCAAAGCCACCCATGTTGCCCATACTGTCCATGCCCCCAAAGCCCCCACCACCACTCATTCCTGTCAAAAGCAGCACTTAGTTTGAACAGTAATCTCTCCTTGCCTCCACAAAAAGATGTTTTTTCACAGGACAAAATCAGAAGTAGTAAAAGCCTTACCTCCTCCAAGTCTGTTCATTCCACCATAGCCTTGGGCTTCCATACCTATGGCAAAAGATAACATCAGTCAGGCCATGTAAAACACTGTACTGCATCCATTTATATCCAATATATATCCCTGGAAAGGTACAGGGTGTAGCCTGATTGTCAAACACTGTACAGAGCATGTCGCCAGTCACATCAGAAAAACCTAGTAAGGTTGTCCTGTATATCAGCTGGTAGGCTGGTTGCCAACATATTAATTACAGAATAATGTTCAAAACAGCTGCCTTTTGATGCTCATGTGTTGACCAGCTAGTGGAGAGGCATCCGATTCTCTTTGATAAACATTTGTCTGTAGAGACAACATAGGATGTGATGTTTCTAGGATATGTAAGCATTTCTGCACAAACAGAACTGACCTCCAGGCCCTATCGAGCCCATGCCTCCTCCTCCTCCTGCAGCACCACCACCGCTCTGACGGTTGGCGTTTATAGGCTGCCCTCCGGGTCCCAGTCCCATGCCAATACCACCTAGACCCCCTACACACAAAGTACACAAGAAAAGAGATGACAGTTTGAACTATGGGATTCACTAGCACAAATAAGAGGGGATTACATAACATAAAATAATATATACCTAATATACCCAACACCAACTATGCAGACATTCATTGAGAATATTATGCAGTTAATACAAAGTCGAAATATGCCAAGACATATCTTTATGCTCCTTTACTGCATCAGAAAGCACCAACTATCAAGAATGGAGGATGAACTGCTCAGGCCTATTTAACATCAAAGGTACACAGACATTGCTGTTGGGTAGACCAGATGTTGTTTATTCACCTATGTGTCATAATATTCAGTATCTCCACATCCTGTTCTGGTGCAGCAAGTCTTTACTTTCAGTGCAGACTTCAGACCTGTCCATTCCATTAATAAACAAGCGCTATATCTATACATCTATATATATCATGGGAACCTGCTGAAACTCTAACAGGCCTTTTAATACAAGCACTTTCACGAGACAACAACTACTACTTCAAAGAGATTAATCTTTAACATAAAAATACAATACAATACAACACAATGGGCAGATGTTCAATCTATAAAAACTGTTTTATTACTGTATGTACGAGACGTTATTTTATACAACAAACAACCTGGCCTTTTAAAGACATGCCAAGGAATTTGCCTCCGATACAAGTATTTAAATATAACTGTAGTCGCAACCGCTACTTCTTTTATCGTGCCTTTACGTGTGAAGCAGCCTGCAGTTGACAGATAACATCATATGCAATATGTTCCCAGCGGGTATCATACATCTTACACTGAGTTTATTACTATGGAGTTTGATATCAACAACTGACGGGATGAAAACAGAGTACTCACGAGGTAACTGAGGTGTTTTCTCCACTTGGCGGAAATCCTCAAGAGGAACAGATTTCTCATCCTATGAAGCCACATAAACAACTGTTAAAATTCATTTGCACAGCCTCTTCATCTTAAATTACATAAGAACTAAAATCAACATACCATTTTAACGTGCATCTGCCTGTCAAACAGCATCTGTCCATTGAACATGGCTGAGTCCAGAGTCAAGAAGAAGGCCACGGTAAATATACAAATCATTACTTTGTGTGCATTTTCTGTTATCTTTCTTCTTTTTTGTGTGTGAGCAACTCTGAAGGATACATATTGCCTGCACAGCCTCGAGTGACTGCTCGAAAGTCACAGTTCCCATCCCGCGGCTCTTGCCATCTTTATCCTCCTTTACATCTGCTCGTTTCACCAAGCCCGCCATGCCAAACACCTCCTTCAGCTTCTTCCAGCCCACCTTGAAATCCAGCTGTGAAACACACACAGTGCTATTTTTAATAAGCATGAACAATCATCACCAGCTAGATTTGGATATGGTTTACAGTATGGACTCACATTGGCCACAAACACCGTGGTGCCCAGTCGTCCGGCCTGCAGTGCATGGATGACGTCAGGTGGGATGTTGGGGTTGTTGGTAATGGAGGGCGGGATGTTCATCCCACCAGGCCCCATGTCCTGCCCATGACCCCCCTGCTGTCCTCCTCCCATGCGCTGTAGCACACGCCGAGCATGTTCCCCATCAGGGTCCTTATCAGAAAATACAGTAAAATTGACAGAAGTTCAGTGTACAGTAACATGACAGATGTTTGCGTTGGGATTATTTACTTCTTCAAATCTGAGCCACAACATAAGACAGTAACACTGAAACACAACTGTATACCCGCCACTAGTCTGAGACAAATTTTATATAGTGAAGTCTATATAGTGATTTACATCTTGAAACCAAAACAAGTAGTTAAAGAAAACAGTATAATCAAAGTTTTGCTGTAATCATTTGACCATAATTTGCTCTCACCTCCTTGATGTTTAGGGGCCTTCCACTCAAGTCATGCTTATTCATAGTTTCTATCGCCTTCTTCACAAACTCCTCATCTTTGAACTCCACCACACTATTGAATCAGGAAAACAGGGGCAAAAGATGACTCTATGCACGTGTGAAATAATTTAAAAAAAGAGGTTCTATGTTCATGAGAATAAGGTAGCGTCTTACCCACAACCCTAACCAGGGGGCATCATGGGAGTCCAGGTCACACACACATCCAAAGTCGAGGGAGTGAACACAATACAGTTAAAATCAAGACAAAGCAGTTGAACATTATGAATCTAATACATCAACATGCTTTTAGTATTTTCTACAGTGCATGTCGGCCATATTTTGCCCGTGAGCTTGAGCCAACAGGTTTTTGGTGTTTGGTGTTTAAATCTACTGCAAAGACTAAAAGGCTCATAAGAGTACATTTTTTCAATCATTATTGCAAACAACGTTGAAAATTAATACTTTTAAAAATAATAAAACAATGGTTTATGTTTTTTTTTTAAGTTTTGGTTAAAACATTTGCCACCAACAGATACCTATGCATTGTAATTTATGTGAAACATTTTGATGTTTTGAACTGGACACAAATACCATGGTAGCAAATTTTAAAAAACTGCATTAACAAATGTATTTCGTACATTGTTTAGGATTGACCAGTTTCACCACTGCAATAAAGAGAAATGGCGTGGTCCATCTTTACATGTATGCATTTTGCCATTCAATATGAAAACATAATTAAAAAAGGCACTGCAGGATCAGTCAAGACTATTTTGTTCCTTTGAAGTGAGAGCTGTGCCATATAACAAAATTGTAAAATAAGATTTTGAGACATGAGGGTCAATCAATGAGACAAATCACACAACCCACATTTCCCTTTGGAAAATGGCCAAACAAACAAACTTTTACACCAATTGAAATAACAACAACAAAAGCAAAAGTGCACTCTTAGATGAGTTCATTAGGCTACTTTTCCAAAATCAACAGGACATCTCCCTTTCAAATGAGTATCAATCATTAGCCAACTATCAGGCTCTAAACACAACCCACAGTCTCTCCAGTTCAGTAACTTAGTAAGACCCAAAGGATCGGAACCTAAAAGAGCACTTGATTAATGAGAGCCTGCTGAGGGCATTTAAAACCTCGTGCAGCAAGTTGGCCACATCACTTACCCTTGACTTTCCTTCTGAATCCTTAAAGAGCTCCACGTATGTAACCTCACCAACTACATGAGACATACAAAGGAAAAATACCAAAAGAACAAAAGTAATTTGAGTCACCAAGTCGCCGGAGATGTCCCATTAATGATCAACAGTCAGCCCAGACCAACATCCCACCAGACAACACCATGCCTTTCTGGGCAGTGACTGAGACACCCAAAGGCCAAGGCCAGAGAGAAACACAGCTACATTAAACCTGGGAAATTCAAAAGACTTCAACATGATCAGTTTGTCAACAGATTCCATTCATGGCAGTTGAGTTTTAAGCTGTCCTTTGAGCTTTTTGAAAAAGGCCTCTTGAGACCCCGTAATTCAGAAAGTAAAACATTACAATATTTTCATGGATATAGTCAAGATTCACCTTGCAACAGATGCAACAAAATCATTCAACAATCAATTCTACGACTGGTTTGAGGTTACATTTTGGAGCTAACAATGCCATAAAACAAGTGACAATGTAACTAAGTTCATCTTCCATTTCTCACAGACAATATCAGCCCAAACTAAATTGGTGTCCATCCAAAAAAAAATGTATTAAAACACCGATAACCTAGTATCACACTATGTTGGTTCCCTACTATGTGCGAGAAGTACATCCAGAGAAAGCTACAAACTAATTGACTATTGCTAGAAGCAGGATGCAACACCTGGTAAGAAAGGGAAAAAAGGGTCAAGAACTTATCGGCTAAAGACTTAGAGAGAGAAGGGAGACGCCATCCCCATCACTGGGGACATTACCTTTCTCACGCATTAGATCTTTAATTGCCTGCCACTTCATATCATAGGGGATATTGCTGATGAAAACCCGGTTCCTATGACCACCCTTCTTTTCTCCACCATGTTTGTCTTTGTAGGGATGGAAGCGGCTCCCTCTTCTGCTCCCAGAGGACTTCTCTTTAGAGTCATGCTTTTCTTCGGGAAGCTTAGTTTCCTCAGCATCCCTACAAAATGCATAAAGCTACAAGTCAGACAACAGCAGCCTATCTCAAAAACAGTCGGGGATCACATGGACATCAAATGCAAATAAAAGACCAGTGAACGTATTATTAATTGGTCATATTATGCGTTTTGCATTTATGGTGGTAATGTGCTTTTTGAAAATATTGACATACTCCTTTGTTTTTTTTCATTAATAAAGAATAAATGGAGCAACTCTACAATTGTTACATTAAAGGCACTACTTACCTTGAGGGCACATGCACCAAAAGGTACTAGATAGCATAATAAAATATGAACACTTGTATTGTTTTAAAGAACCTTGGAATATGAATATGTGCTAGGACAACGTGTGAGTGTATAGGGTGATTATTTAGCACACACAAAAAAAACCTTTACCTTTACTAAACAAGTAGGCCTGGCTAGTGAAGAGGATACATATGCGAGTGGCAGGTACGATGCTATAGCTAGCTAGCATAGCTCAATAACACTAGCTTGCAGTGCCATTAGCATCTCGACTCTCCAGCTAAAAATTACACAACATACTTAAGCGGCATGTAAGCCACGAACCCAACATATATCACACGGGTACGTTGCGGTTACAATGATTGGCAACTGACGTTGAAGGCGCCTTGGCTAACAATAGCTAGCATCACAGGACTCCATTTTAGCTAACGGCTGCACAGACGGCGCGGACAGAACAATGAATCGTTTTCACGCACGTTTTCATGCCATTGGGTGTTTCTTCAGAAGCCTCCTCGGATTCGGACATGACGGATGCAGTCGATCCCTCTTGGTTTGGCTCATCATCAAGAATTACAACATCTTCCATGGTGATGTTTGTTCTCCCCACAAAACGCAAGATGCCCCTGTCCCCTACGCAGTTCAAAATGTGACGTGAGACTTGTGCCTCCAACACGAGATATGAGTCTCTAACGCGAGATTTGGATCTCCGCTGTTGTGAGGCAGCCTGTGTGGATAGAGTATAAACGGTACAGGAGTCAGTGTTATTGGAGTATAAACACAAATCAAAATGGGAATATTTAAAGAGATTGAGCACATTATTTTTCCAAGTGTAGGTGACAGTTTCAGGGTTCAGCAAGTGAATAAGAGAGTGAGTGAGTAACTAAATAGTGAGCAGAAAGTGACCCGTCCTGATGGATGCATGTCTGCCTGAGCAGTACCCAGGCCCCAGAAAGCCTAGACATTTGATGTAGCCTATCTACTAGGAACCAGTAAGTCCCTGAATACTCATCAATATGCTCATGATATAGGGCAGAACGAGCCACAGCAATGCATAATTCCACTTCAATTCAAAATCTGACATTTCAATATCATAAAGTTGATTTTAGATTAGAAAACTGTCCAGTTGGTAATTGTTAAATGTTATTTGAGATATGAAGAATGCAACCTTTTGACCTTAATAACCATAGTTTTATGCTAAACAAAAAGTATTATTTAGACATTTAACACGTGTTTACATCTGAGCAATGCTTCAAAGCAAGTCCTGCTGGAAAACAAGCAACTCCAACTGGGCAGTTGCTTAAAATGTCAGGTTTAAGGGTACATTTTTTTTCATTTGAATCTTAACAGCCAAGCCATTTTAAAGTCACTTTTGGGATACCCATTTACAAAGTGTCTTGATTCCAATACTGCTGCTTAGTTTTGCTGCATGCTGTTGCCACAAACTCAACAACATGGTGCAACATCACTTTGGAAAATAACTACATTTTTTACTTCAATCAGGAACGGATGCCACTGCTAAGTCAGGTTCAATGAAGGACAGATTGCAACATCTTTCAATTACAACCATAGCTCGGGTAACATAGCAGAGATGTTAACAAGTATTGCTCTGTAAATGTAAAACCAGGTCAATAAACTGATAATATATTTCCTTTATTTTGAAGCTTCCTTCCCTGAACTGGAATGGGACTTTCTGAGTAGCAAAACACATTCAGTAAAGTAACTTTAGAATTTTTCAAGCAACAATATAGTCAGGCTGTCACATTAACATTTCATGTATTGTTTATTTATGGTGTGATGCCACAAAGTAACATTAGAGATTTTTAAGAATATTTTGGTGGTCATATTTGCTTTATTGGCAACAACAGCTGTATTTCTCTTGTATTGTACACTATAATATGCACAATCACCTTGACAATATGTCTTTAATAACAATATTGCAGATTATTGTATATATTTTAAAAAGGCAGACCTCTATGTAAATTGAATTAAGTTGTTGGCACCAGGATAATTAGTAATTACAGCAGTCAGGCTAAGGGGGGAAGCCTAATGAAGTATTTAAAGTCTTTGCAACTTCACTGCATCCGTCTTTGTACTTACTTGTACAGATGTGTAGAGTTCATTAACATCAAAGCGGGATACTGTTAGAGCACTTCATAGAATCATTGTTTTACAGTTCTCAATATCAGTTCTGCTCTTGGCCTGTTGTCTGTCTGAGATAAAAGTCTAACAATCTTTATCATTTTGTCCTATGAACGCTGGGTAGTATTTTGAAAATGCTTTATGCAACAGGTGTAGATTACCTTCACAGTTCCTTTTCCTGAGCCAAAAGAGTCCAAAGCACATCAGCACACCTTCGCACTCATGTGATTGAATCACACTGACAGATTTGATAAAGGCAAGTCATTGAACTTCTGTTCATTCTCACACGAGTGGACCTCTGAAATCCTCTCTAATAATGACATACAATTCACACTGTCTGTAACGTGACATCATCACTGGTGACTTTACACGAGAGTTTACGATTTCGACCTCAACGAGGTAAAATGTCCAACAATGTCATTGTCTGTACAGCGTGGGACATCTCCTCATCCAATTTGCAAGAGCTGTCCTTGAAATGAATGGGAGATAAAAATTTAGTAGCTGACTCATTCGGCAAATCACAGTGGTGCCACACGACCACTATTTCTACCCAAGTACAGCCAAGTTTTAACAGCACAGCAGGACTGTGACCCAAGAAAAATAAAGCTTTGAAGTAAAAGTAAATGCAAAGGAGGTTATTCATCTCTGTGTTTTTGTTCTTTCAGGGAATTATTCTGCTGTTTACAACCAAAATAAAGAAGGAAATGGAGCTCTCTGTACCATTTTTAAGCCAATAATTATTGCACATCAAACACCAGCTCCCTCATGGCGGCATGCTTTATCCTTCGATCCGAGTCACTGCACCACTGTGACATAAACTACATCGCTGATATGAATTTGCACTGCATAACATGGAAACCGATGGCCAGCCGCTTCACTGCTGCATTCTGCTACAGTGAGCAATCAGATGACCTGCTGTCTAGTTTTCCTGTACAATACTGCTTTTCATACTCCAGTAAATACCAGTCTCTTCTCCCTCAGCAGGTCCAGGGAGCTCGTAAAGCCTGTAAGCAGAGGGGGCTAATTCAATTTGACACAGCAAACTGCAGCAATTAAAAAACACATCATCAAACCAGGCTTGGAGGATGATGCTGTGATGTACCAAAAATACCTTTGCAGCAGCATTTTACTAGCCAGGAGCGGTAAGAGGCAGCATTGTTGGCTATACCATGATATTCCTGTCACATTTTGGTGGAGTCATTTTTTTTTTTTTTTTTTTAAGAAAAGCCACAAAAAGCCAGGGGAGGGGAGTATGAAGAGAGAAGAAAAAGAAGAGGCGGATTGCTTGTTTATACTGCTGCATCCGTCCCCGTTGTTGCTGAGGAGGGGAATGTTGTGAATGACTGAGGCAGTGGAGTGAGACTAACAAGTGGTTGCCATGCAGCAGGAGCAAGCGTGCGTGCTTCTGGAGCGAGAGATAGAGAAACAGAATGATAATCAGTAGGAGGCAGCAAGTAAGGGAGCACAAGGAGAGGAGCTGTATATCTGGGGAGAGACACATATCATAGCTTGATCCAGCCTCTCCCTCGCTTCCCCGTTTCTCTCTTTATTTCTACAGCTTTTTTTGTTTAGATGGGAGGTTAGCCTCGCACATGCAGCGTGTCAGCGATGGATGGATTCATGGATATGTGTCTGAGGACTCCAAGAAAGAGGAGTTGGTCACAGGAAACAGCAGCAACAGGTCTGTGAGGATGGAACGATAATGACGGTGAGATGCTTGCTTCCCCCCCCGCCCCAGACATCCTCACTTGAGAATCTGTCCATGCAGTCTCTGTCTTTCACCCTACCTCACTCCCCTCCTCTCTCTCCTCTCTCACTCTCTCTCACCATGCATACTTGTGCAGTGTCCCGCTCATCATCCTACTTCCTTCTCCCTCGTCTGTCTTTCCCAATTCTCCCTGTATGTACCCTCCCTCTCTCATCCGCACCCCCTCCCTTCCTCTCACCCGATCCACCTGCTGCTTGAGTTCATATGAAAGATTAAGGAGGAAAAGAATGAGAGGAGCAGACTTCCACCTGTGTGACTACACCAATTTCCTGATGATGTTTGGTCAATCCCCGTCGCTTTCTTGTCGAATGGAATTACGCTGTATGGCAGGCGTCTGCTCGCACGCAACAGGTATAGACAGCCCTCTCTTCTAAACCAAACATACATAACATCACATCTTCATGAGATGTGACGTTTTCATTGACACCATGCCGCTTTGCCTGTGTTTAACAGCTGGCTATGCACTGCGACACACTGTAATTCTAACCCGACTTCAAGGGATGTAGCCTTGGTATTGGCTCATATCACTGAACACATTTCCCTGCAGTCTCCCTCACTCTTATGTTCATGTTTGCTTTTTGTAATTTTCTGCAAAATTCCCAGAGGAGCAGAGAGAGAGAGAGAGATAGAGGGAGAGAGAGAGAGAGAGAGAGAGAGAGAGAGATCGAAGTCTCCGTGCATCTGTTTGATACCACATCCAAAAAAAGGCTATTTATAGCTACCTTTAACCCTTCACGTTTCATGGTCAGCTCATTTCACAATATTTAATTGTGGAATTTCTGTATTTTCTCCTTCCCATATCTGTTATTTCCCCCAGCCGACACAGTGTATGCATTATACGTGGTAATATTTATTATGTTGATTAAATGGATCCTCACGGCAGAGGAGACAAGACGGCACTCATCTGAAGCCATCATGTGATCTCTGTCCAGGTAACATGCAGGCTTCGAAACGCCTGACCCTATCAGAGGAGAGATGAGGCACCTAGATGTTGGTTTACCATGTGTAGCGTCCACTACAACCACTCCCTTGCTGCCATGAGCGGAAACGACATGATGGTGCACTCTCTGACTCTGGAGCAGAAGACAGCTTTTGCCTTCGTGGGGATGCTACTGGTGTTCCTGGGGCTGCTGATAGTAAGGTGTTTCAGGATCCTGCTGGACCCCTACAGCAGCATGCCTTCCTCCAACTGGGCCGATGGCATCGAGGGGCTGGAGAAAGGGACGTTTGAGTACGCCCTTACTTAACACAGGGACACACACATCCATGGATGTCCTCACAAACAGAAATGCCTATAGACACATACATATATATATATATATATATATATACACACATGTACACACTGATACACTTGCACACATGCAAACACACGCAAGCCACAGCCCTGCATCACCATTGCACCTGACACACCTTTAAGACATCTCTCTGTGACGGACCGGACCAAGAGACTGAAGCTGTGTATGTTGTTCAATGTGTGTGCACTTTTAGTTTAGAGCCAGTGTGGAGTCTCCCTGCTGTGTGTGACGAGTTGTCTGTTGTTGTGTGCGTCTGAGCGAGTGTGATGCAGCTGCTGTGTCATATTCTTTGCTCTTCTGCCAAGGGGGTGTGCGTTTCAGCTCATCGATTTACACAGAAATGGCTGAAGCTCCCTTTAACCCACACCCACAAGTTGAATGTCTGTGGACGATGAGAGGTGGATGCTCGCAGGACAATGTGGGGGATTAGGGTGCAAAGTGGGATTATTCAGATGTATTTTGAAGACTCAGGGACAAGATTCCTTATGTGAATGGGAAACAGAGTGGCTGCACCTCTGCACAGCAGAGCTGTTCTGCACGGGGATGTATATGGTTGGATACAGGGTATTATTTCAAGCTAGTGCTTTGTGGAGTAATCAAATCCAATCTGTTGGTGATCCAAAGGAATGCTGCTGCTGCTGCTGCTGCTGCTGCTGCTGCGCTGCTGCTGCTGCTGCGTGTGTGTGTGTGTGTGCAGATTGGTCCTTTCCGTGGCATCATGCAGTGAAAGGCAACTGAACAAATTGTGATTTACATTGTGGTGTTACTGTTTCTAAATGACGCAAACGAAAGTTCAAACTGTTTACTTGCGATAGTGTGTCTGCAAAGACATACGACGATGTTGATTTATGGACTGTCAACGGTTCCGTCTGTCAAGCGTTCTGTCTAAAGGTTGGCTGATGCGACCAAGCCAAAGAACTTTTAAAGGAAATGAGGAGTGGAAACTAGGAAGGACTCACTCGCTCTGCACTGCTAGTTTTCTAATGACAGTGATAAACTCTCACTCTACCTGTCTGCAGAGGAAAAGGTCACATGGGAAACAGGGGTGGGATGTCTGTCAGCGCTGGACATGAACATCTTTTTCCTCCTATTCTCAGCCATGCTCACCCTTTCTCACCTGCTCTCTTCCTTCCAGACAGAGGAGGACAGGGCAGTCGTAAAAAGAGATTCTGTAATACGGCAGACCGGTGAAAGATTTGAGTGTTCCTTTGCTAATTTCTACAGTCTACGGTTTCTCCTTAGTGCTGTGAATCTGCCTTACTGTGACCTTCAATGGGTTAATGTGCCTTCATCTAGAAACATTAGAGCACCTGTTTGTGCGTGCATGTGTGTGTGTGTGTGTGTGCGTGCGTGCACGCATGTGTGTGGCATATCATGATGACAGATCGTCTCCTGACCCGTTGCTTGCTCAGCTGGTAGTAAAGATTTCTCATTGATATAGTTTTGATTCAATGATGTGAAATAAATAGAATTTCTTCAATTTAAAATATTTAATATCTTTGTTTTTTGTCTCTCTTATTGCAATCTGCGAAGCACGTCGAATAAAATGTGTGTGTGTGTGTGATCAGTTTTTACAAAGTAGCATGATACTTTAGGGGACCGTCTTGGCTACAGGACATAGCAGAGGTGCGGAATGCATCTTTACGAAAATGTCAAGCCTTTATGTCTTCTCTGCTTCTAAACTCTGCCGGTAGTTGTCCAACGTCGCTGTGGCAACAGACAGAGAGGGAGCAACACAAAGAGACAATCCAAATTTGAATAAACCCTGGAAGGAGTAGATTCTCTAACAGGAACTTATCGTGTGTGTATGTATGTGCACTGACGATCTTGTTCACACTCTGAGGCCAGACCACCACACACACCTCCCTCGACACACGTCACCCGTCATGAATGCGATCGTTATTGCACCATTGTCTCCATCACCTATGTGACACCCTTATCTGAAATCTATTTTAGTGGAAAAATACACAGCCCCATTGCTCCTTAGTCTACAAGCCCACCTAGGAAAATAACTGACCCAACTAGTAGGAAGGGTTGTAAATCTATTAAATTTTAACAAATGTGCCGTTTTGAATTGTTTTTTTCATATCTCGGTGTTCATTAAGTTGTTTGAAGTTCATTTGAAATACCAATCACTTCCTCTTTGTGAACAAAGATAGACAACTGATGTCATCTTTGCAAATATAGGGAAGAATTATGAGGACATTTTACAGTTACACTACGCATATTTTAAGTGATCTTACATTCTTTTGCACGCAACAACAAAAATAGATATCAGGAACAATCAAAATGATGAGAAATATTCATATTTCAGGGACACAGAAGTTATTAGGACACTAATGTAACAGACTCCTTGTTACATAGTATAGGACCAATGACTCAGCTGAATATTGCACCTTAGCTTTTGCTGATTATCAATCATCAGTTTTATAACTTGTGGTCTTCGGACCTCACAAGCTATGTCCTTGATTTGTTGTGATAAGACCAATAGATAGAATACTATTACTAGCTATCCAAACAGCAATGTAATATACAATTATTGTGAACTCCAGTACCATAAATTCCCCAAAATAGCTTGAGGCAATCAGGTCAGTGAAGTGGCCAAAGTAATTATTTTGTTGATATTATATTTTGATAATAAAAAAGGCAATATTTTATGCTTTAGTCTTGATGTAACCTAATTTTTTACACTACACAAAAACACGTCATCAGCGGATAAAGTGGAGAATTCTGTTGCTGCTGCAGACGTTGACCACGATGACATGAACTAATTACTCTTCCTCAAATAGATGAAATCCTGTTCTCAAATGAGCCGGACGCCGACTTGAAATCTTAAGTCAGAGCGCTCCTGTCAAATCTGAAGCCTCAGCTAAGGCTGTGTTGGATTTTAGACTTTACCATGTTGAAAACCTCTAAGGGATAGGTCAATGATTACCTACCATGACACGTATTAATGTTTCATATCAGTTATTAATGATTATAAATCTGTTATGTTTAATAATTTACTTTTAAATGAATCGAAATGACATTTTACTATTCTGCTTTTGTCATTTGCAGGATTCTTCAAAAGGAGCAATATACAACATTCAGAGCATTAGTAGAGCAACAACTATTTGCTATATAAAGATATAGTGGAGTCATTTCTACCTGAGCAGAGAATGAAGTCGCTCTTCCTCTGCGTGTGTTTGCCATACTTTGCACTGTTAGCGCTGCTAGCTCTGCACCGTTGGCTGCGAGCCGGCTAAGGCACTGCCATGTTGAGAAGTAATGGAAATGCTCCCAATCTCGGATTATGCACCTTTAAATAATATTCTTTAAAAATATAGAAAATAATATCTGATGATCAGTTTCTCTATAACAAAGCATACATAATAGATCATGTTTGATGGAGATATTTCATTCTATTTCTGATTGGCAGGTATAATTAAGAGAACTATGCTGACTGGAGTATATATAGCTGAGATGATTTATACCCGCCCTTTTATTTGTTGCACCCCTTTAGATATAGTATCAGTAGGCTAATCCTGCCTGCTGGTATCTGCACTTTTGCTCACTTTTTCATATTGCAGTGAGCAGAGCAAGGTTTGATAAATCCATTAAACGGGTTTCTTTCTGCCTCTTTTGAGCACTTTGGACTTTTAACTAAATTGCAGATTCCCTTGTTCTGTACAAATTGGAGCAGATGCACCTGCTGCCACGGATTCACCATAGAGGCTACACAGTTCTCACAGGAGCACTGCAAAATCTGAATTCACTCAAGCACAGCAGACAAAAGTCCAGCAGCACTGATAATAAAAAACGAATCACCTTAATCTCAAGTCCAGACAGTCGGCAGGACCTGAGGATCTCCAACTGCACTAAAGACAGTGTGTATGAGACAAAACCTTCCTCCGTTTCAACCTCAGAATAAATGTCAAATCTGACAAAAAAAACATGCTGTGGTGGAAAGTAAGTACATTTACCACTGTACTTAAGTACAATTCTGAGGTATTTGTACTTAACTTAAATACTTAAATTAACCACCACTGCAAATTGCGACACAGAGCTAAGGATTAATATCACCTTTACCAGTTGAAGTCACCTGTTGCAGTCTGAATAAAACAGAAGTGAGGAAGAGGAGAGTTGTACATAACGTTCCCTGTGGACAATTTTCCTTCCTCAATGATACATGACTCAGTGAGTATCATTGTTGTAGAGAATTGTACCAACGTTGAGCCACTGTGTTCCGAATGTGATAAAGATTGCGAAATCGATTGTCTCCTTTCAATGTGCATGTAAAAACATGTGCTGGAGTATTTGTTTGCAGCCTGCAGTTCACCCAAGGTTAGATCTCGAGTCATTAGCCTGCCTTTCACTGTATGCATAAATCACTGTGGTGTATCAGTAATAAGGAAGTTTACCTGTTAAAAGGAATGTTAAAGGCACCTTAGAAGTCATGTGGCTATAAAGAAGTGCCTCCGGCATGTTCCTGTAATTCATGGTCTCATATTAACTCTCAATTTCCTCATGAATACGGCCATTTCTTCTGCGTTAGCCGACACATTAACTTTACTGTTAGCACATTGTGACAAAGAGAATCATTAGAGATACTATTAACATAACATGATCAGTTATACAACTCAAGGGCCCAATGTCTTAGTCACTATAAGGTTAATTTCCCCCTTGTTATCACAATAGTTTTATTGATTACATCCTATTGTTTATGAATGTATTGTTTTCTAACATCCCATACTAGCTTTATCTTTTCCTGCCACAGTAGTACACATCATGAAGGGTTTGTAACCTTGAAATCTTTCCTACATAGTTATTTTCCTATAGTGGGAACTTCCTTGTGGATGTGTCCTGGTGATTCATCCAAAGGGCCCACAGGTGTGAGGAGATAATATCCATAGCCCCATAAACGACAACCACAGGACAACATGTGCTGTTGCTCTGCACTTCAGACAATACTATTAGTAATCAATGCTCCAGAACTAAGGCAATGAGAGCCGTTATCTCTCGTTTGGCGTTTATGACTTGGTTAATCGTTAAGCAATGCCTTTGTGTCCCCGAGGATGGAGCAAGGACATATCTGACACCCCTTGCTCAGGTTTTTGAGGGTTGATCTAGAGAGTTAGCCAATAATTGGCAGCCAGTGTATGACCCTGGGATGCAGGGTATAAAGGTAGGCCATCTTAGATAAACCAAGCTTACTCACAAGAAGCTCAGACCGGCAGACGAGATCTCTAGAAGTCTAATCCTAGTCTAGTCCATACATCAATAACCAAGGACAGCTGCACCTGTTGATGCAGCACTCTGCTCTTCTAAAACACTGTTGGATGACTGGAGACCCACACTGCTGTTTGATCCTTGACTGTTTAAATCAGCATTCCTGATGGAGAGGCTCAGGTCTAAGGGAGGGGAGCACGATAACCCCGTTTATGATTCCAACCTGGATGAACCTCCCGTCTACGAGGACACCAACTTCTCTAACGGGGACCACCGGACGGTCCGGCCCTCGGTGGTCAGCGCTTTTGGTCACGACACTTTGGACCGGGTGCCCAACATTAACTTCTATCGCAATGCAGGCAGTGTGAGTGGTCACCGGGCCGTGCGACCATCCCTGCAGGAGCTCCACAACGTGTTTCAGAAGGTGAGTGCATGCATGTCTGTGAAGTTGTTCCTTTCTTGTCTTTCTGTTTTCCTGGTCTGCGTGTTCGTCCTTCACCTCACCTTCTGCAGAAAGTATTTTACACCCGTTTTTCTCCTAAACTCAAGTCACTGGCTTTTTAACTGCAGTCTTTGTTCTGCTCCTGACCTACACGGTCCATTCAATCACTCAAAACAAAGTAAAATCAGATATGTTACAGTCGTTGATCATTCAAACATCACTTCCAGTGTCCACAGTTCAGCCATTAAATCTTTGCCCAAGGACTAGCAAAACTAAAAAGGACACTGAAAGTTATTTCTGGGAGCAACTGTCACACTTAGAGTGTTTAGTGCTTTTTTATTAGGCTATTATACTGCCTTGTGTTGCAAAAGAGATGGAGTTATAGGTCATTTGGATTTTATAGGCTGAACTAGATTAGCATCACTGAACGGACAAAAAACTGAAAAATATTTTAGCAGTTTTCCTTTGCAGAAAATGAAATAAATTATGAGTAATGAAGATAGAGGTTTAAGAGATATTGTGTGAATGTGTAAGGACATTGATTACCCAATCATCAGCATCTTGATAAAAATATCTGAAAATGTCTTATTTATCCCAAAAGAATAAATACAACTGACTTGTAGTTTTATGGCCAAACAAAATGTATCCAAATGATGAATTCATCTATTTTGCTTTTTAAACACTGATTAATAACCCTGACATGAAGTTACATGCTTCAAGTAGTCAGTAGTAGTAGACTCAAGAGGATCATTTGTGTCAGGGCAGAAGAGTCAATCAGAAAGTAATTTAACAGTCTGTAATTATCTGCATAAAAAGTTAAAATTAGGCTTTTCTTGTTCTCTCTACAGTCTAATGTCTCTGCAAATGCTTTATCAATCTTTATCCAAATCAAACCTCAGTGGTTTCCCCATAAGTTCTCTCCAGTGTATTACAGAGGAGGCAAGAGAAAGCCAAACACATTGCTGCAAAAGACAGAAAACACTTTGCAACAGACACGGCAACTTCTTCATGATGATGATGCGCTTTCTTACGATTGAAAAATGTATATCAAAACCCAAAAAACAAATATATCCCAGTTGTGTCTATAAGACAAATTTACATGTTTCCTTTCCCTTATGTTTGCTTCTACATTTTCCCAACAGAATGGAGCGATCTCTGTGCCAGACACCGTGGAGGACGATGGTGAGGGGAGTGACGGGACCCCCTCTGATGATCTGGAGTCTGCCATCCCCACTGACACCGAGAAAGGACTATTAAAGTTTGGCTGGATAAGGGGCGTCCTGGTGAGTTATGTCGGGTCACGACGGGTCTCCTCTGCTTTATAGACGCAGAGTCGCTTTACATAATTGTGACCTGACAGGAAGAGGCTTGATAACACAGCAGGGCCAAGTGAGGCTTTCAAGACCAGAGTCTGGGGGTGATTTGCTGTTATTCAAGTGCTGCTGGGTCATCGTTTGTGCTGCTGGCATGAAGATCAAATAAAAGCCCCCAAAATGTTTAGTGCTTTTAAAAAAAAATAGCATTTCATTAATATTAGTGTTTCTCTCACTTGACATAATAATGAATCACAATCCACACAAGACTTTGAACTTATCGCTCTTCTGTTCCACAGGTGAGATGCATGCTGAACATCTGGGGTGTCATGTTGTTCATCCGTCTGTCCTGGATTTTTGGTCAGGCAGGCTGGGGTGAGTGAGACACGGATACATGTTGGTTAGATGGAGCACAGCGTAATTTTTTTTGTAATTGCCATTCTCTACCTATCGCTACTTTCTTCCAGTCAAATGAAAGTTGCAAGTTTTAGGGGAGTTTTCCCCAAATTACTCAAGAATTCAGTTGTTGACAGTTTGTGCAGGTGTGGCAATAAAATCTGAAACCTTAAAACAACTCCAAATTATCTAACACTGACGGTGCAACATAAGCTAAGCCAAATTGGGGAAACTGAGCTGAGGCATGGGAGCATTGACATGTGGGATCTCTAAAAAAGTGAGTCAGGGGGTTCCAACACACAATACGCTCAGCCGACACATTGGATCAAAGCTGACACAGAAGGCAGTCAATGTGTACAGTGTAAAAAGGCTGACTTCTACATGTTCAGTGATCACTTTAACTACATACCTGTAACAACAAACACGACCAGCCACAACAGAGACGGAGAACATGGACCAACAGTTGTTTTAATTAAGGCCTGGGGCTGCGTTCACCAACACTACACATGGTACTCACTAGGGGAGCATTCTCCACCAACACAGGCATTCCACTCATTAGGCCAGTGCACCAACGGCTTAAACATTATCTATAACTGCACATAGCCTGAGATACATAGCTGTCTTCTTCTTACACAGCTCAGCTTAGGTTTGGAAGTGTTGCAAATAGAGCCCTTAAAAAAAGCATGATCAATCAAAATTGAAGCCAAAGATGAAGTTAAACCAGTGTTTTTTCAGGATGATATAGTCATTCTCAAGCAACAGCTGACTGATCCTAAATGTCAGTGTTTTGAGAAATGAGACCCTGTTGCCAGTGATGTTAGGCATCAGTGATTTGTTTTAAGGTATATGGTTCTCCTGTCATTTGCAGGAAGTGATTGATTTGGGACAAATTTAACTGAACAAGCCTTTCTGAGATCCCATAATGCTTGCTGACAGTCATATTCTATGAGCCAAACCTCTATGAGCGATCTGTGTGTGTGTGTGTGTGTGTGTGTGTGTGTGTGTGTGTGCAAGAGGCCGGGAGAATGGGGAAATTGTGTAAATGGCTTCATGAGTATGTTCATTGCTTTAGAACCTATCGATCGGCCGCAGCTTTTGTTCAGCCAGCGTAACTAAAAGGTTTTGAGAAGCAGAAAAAGCTGCCGGTGGTACAGCAGAGCAGGAACACAGACGGCTGGGACTCATAGCCTCTTTGACTATCTCTAAGTTTAAAGTGGACTTGTGGGGTTTTATGACTGATTACTTTAGCACAACGCCTGAGTAAGTTGTTGTTGAGAAACTATTATTTTGTGCATTTCAGGTCTGGGAATTGTGGTGATTGCTCTCAGCTGTGTGGTCACCACCATCACTGGCCTTTCCATGTCTGCCATATGCACGAATGGTGTGGTCAGAGGAGGTAAGACAACGCATCATCAACCCTCATGTCGCAAACCTTTCATGCAGGCATTTCACTCATGCAGAGCCTCTGCGGCTGTCTGTTTAAACATTATTCATAAATGTATAAAGCCTGAGATAACACACACACACACACACACTCTCATCCTGACTTAAAATCTTTTCCTGAGAGAATGGAATGACCAGGAGGACAGTTTGTGTAGATAAAGATAAAAGGATCAAAACTGCACCTGAATGTCACCCCTGGAGGCCTTGTCTCTGTTTTCAGCCTCCTAAACTTGTCCCAACATCAAATCAATGAATCAGTGATGTGGTGATTAATCATCCACCTCTGTTATGCTTTATCTTGTCATTTTCACATTTTCAGGAGGAGCCTACTACATGATATCTCGCAGTTTGGGGCCAGAGTTTGGCGGGTCGATCGGTCTAATTTTCGCCTTTGCCAATGCGGTGGCTGTAGCTATGTATGTGGTGGGGTTCGCCGAGACCGTGGTGGAGTTGCTCAAGGTGTGTGTGTGTGTGTGACGTTGTAATGATCAGTTGACTGAAGAAGGGGCACGATGTTATGACTATACACTTATCCGTGCCTCTTCCGTCCCTTCTGCCGCACTCAGGATAACGCCGCCATAATGGTGGATGAAATAAACGACATCAGAATCATTGGCATTATTACCGTGGTGCTGCTGTTGGGCATATCAATTGCTGGAATGGAATGGGAGGCCAAGGTGAGAGATGAACATTAGTGCTGGTTGTTTTCTACAATCTCTGGGCTTGTTGTGGTAAAACATACAAGCACAACTTTAACCTGTTTAATTCTTTTTGGACACACAGGCACAAATTCTTCTACTCTTTATCTTGCTGGCGGCCATAGTCAACGTATTTGTAGGAACTTTCATTCCTGCAACTGAGAAGAAGAATTCCGAAGGCATCTTCAATTATGAATGTAAGACACCCTCTCCAAAAGACTCAAAAATGTGAAGATTTGAATCATTCACAAAGCCCTGTTCACCTACATTTTTCGTTCTCCCTCTCTCGCAGCGAACATCTTTTTAGAGAATTTTACTCCAGCTTTTCAAGACGGCGAGAGCTTCTTTTCAGTGTTTGCCATCTTTTTCCCTGCTGCAACCGGGATCCTGGCTGGAGCAAACATCTCTGGCGACTTGCGGGTAACTTTTTCATGCAGATGTCACTGCATAAGAGCCATGCGTAGGTTAGCTGCTATGGTGCATAGGTTTTGAAAGAAAAGGGTGGAGGTGATAAAAAGGAATTCTCTGAATAAAGTGACAGTATCTGTAGCTGTTTTACTTTAATGGTTTAAAATATGTTCATTACAGAAACAGTCTCCATCATAGTCACCATTATGCCTGGAATATGTTGAAACACAGATTTTGTTTTACAGGATCCCCAGGCTGCCATACCTAAAGGTACCTTGCTGGCCATCCTGATAACTGGTGTCACCTATGTGGCTGTGGCCCTCTGTGTTTGTAAGTACAGTAATCCATGAAACGCAACGCCAATGAGAAACGTTACTCATAACACGTATAAATATTAAATAACAATATTTTGTATTTCTGTGAGGTTTGTTGTTCCTAAACAATGCATCTGTTCTTCTCTCTGATTGGTCAGCTGCCACTGTTGTCCGTGAAGCTACAGGAAACATAACTGACATCATTACAGCTGGAGCATCATGTAATGGTTCGTCAGCATTAGCTGCCTGTGAGCTCGGCTATAATTTCTCTTCCTGTGCAGTAGAGGAATGCAAATTTGGCTCGATAAACACCAATCAGGTACACGGCCTTTCAAACTCTATTCTGCGCATGAGAAGGAGCTCCTTTATTTTTTCATCTCTAACACTCTCCTCTCTTCACCGCTGGTTCAGGTGATGACCATGGTATCTGGGTTTGGTCCCCTCATCATTGCTGGAACGTTCTCAGCCACACTTTCATCAGCCCTGGCTTCCCTCGTCAGCGCTCCCAAAGTCTTCCAGGTCAGTAACTCAACTCGTTTCTTTTCTAAATGCAGTTTCAGAGCTCTTAACTCCTGAAAACACACAAAAAAAGATCTATTCTAACCTTAGCTCTGTCTCTCCTCAGGCACTGTGTAAAGACAACATCTACAAGATCCTGCACTTCTTTGCCAAAGGATATGGCAAGAACAACGAGCCAATCCGTGGCTATGTCCTCACATTCATTATTTCTGCGGCCTTCATTCTCGTTGGTCAGTTCAACTATCTGTCACGGCATATCTTTATCTTAAATTAGATTTTAAGCTCCAAATGTCTGTTTTTTGCTGCCCTTTTTTATTTTTATATATATTTTTACTTTGATTGTTTATTGTAAATTTGTGTGTGTACATCGAGAGCGAAGTGAAAACCGGAGTCAAATATGCGTACGCATACATGGCCGATAAAGCTGATTCTGATTCTGATGAAAAAATATAAAAATAACAAACTTTTATGCTTTGTGAAAGAAACTAAGCTGATTTCAAATTTGACTTATGCTTTTTTTTTTGTCTCTGTAGGTAATCTCAACACCATCGCTCCTATCATCTCAAACTTCTTCCTGGCATCTTATGCCCTCATCAATTTCTCCTGCTTCCATGCATCCTACGCCAAATCTCCAGGTGGGTCTGTGAATATATCAACATAACGCACTTTCTTAAAAAGTACCAGACTTAAGACGTTTCCTGGGAGGAACTGAGTGGAATTGGATTTGTTTTAAATTCAAAGTAAGATTTGAATACTGCATGTCCCTGATCATGGAAGTTATATCTGTACAGTCTGTTACCCGTCACTTGTCCAAAAGTCTGCAGTTACTAAATGTTGTCTTTTTTTCTGTCATGCTTCAGGTTGGAGACCAGCATATAAATTCTACAACATGTGGCTCTCGCTGTTGGGCGCATTGCTCTGCTGTGTTGTCATGTTTGTTATCAACTGGTGGGCTGCTCTACTCACGTACGCCATTGAAATCCTCCTCTACATTTACGTCACAGTCAAGAAGCCAGGTGAGACGCTCGTTTGAGAATGCACGTTTGGAAGCACATTCATGATGCCCGCGTGGTAGATCTTACCTGTCAGGACTCCTGTTCTCTCTCCAGATGTGAACTGGGGTTCGTCCACGCAGGCGGTGACATTTGTGAGTGCGGTCAGCAACGCTCTGTCTCTGTCGGGTGTCGAGGATCACGTCAAGAACTTCAGGTAAAAAGTCTGCATCGCATCACTGGGGGTGCAAATATATATATATATTCAAAACAATACCACCTTTTCATTCCTAGAAGCTGCACCTTTCCTGGTGAAAGCGCTTTTAACGTTTTTTTGACCCACCTCTTGGTGTGAGACACTTTAAAATGAGCATGCAATATTTTAAAGACAGGATTTTGGGTCATTTGAGCACTAAATGTACTTTCTCTCATTGATGAAATTTCCTGGTTTGTTTTCAGTCTTATTTGTCTTTTATGTGAAATTGTTATGTTTTTAACTTTTTGCTGTAGTCTGTTATCAGTGTTTTTATGTGGTACGCTGCCATCTTGAACAGGCCTCCCTTGTAAAAGAGATTTAAAACCTCAAAGGGATTAATTTGGATGAATAAAAGCTAGTAATAAAATAAAAACTTGTTTTTATCTGTAGGACGTATAAAAAGCAGAACCGTTAAAATCAAAGAACATTTTAATAAAAAAATACCAAGTTAATATCAAGAGGCATTGAAACACATTCTTGTTTCTTTCTCAGGCCTCAGATCTTAGCACTGACGGGCGCAGCACGGGCCAGACCAGCTCTCCTGGACCTGGCTCACTGCCTCTCTAAGAACTATGGACTCTGTCTCAGCTGTGAAGTGTTTGTGGTAAGGTTCTATTGTTATCTTATTGTTTGCAAATGTAAAACAATGGATATTACCAAGGCTGCAACTATCCTCTTTCCCAAATCTGTATTTGATACCTTTTACTTTGTATCAAACTTCTATTCAAATCAAGATTTGCACATCAAGCGAATATAAAAATTGTGCCGACTTCACATATTCATGCAAATATCAAGCAGGGATTAATGAAATGCCAACTGTCTGGATACCTGAAACTAAGGTTAAGGGTCAGTTGTGTCTTCTGAATATGAAAAAGGTGTATTGCTCTTTAAAACACACTCGCAAAAACACTTCCACTCACATTCAGCTGTATGTTGTGATCTCTCCAGGGTCCGAGATCAGAGATCCTTGAAGAGATGAACGCTGGCATGGAGAAGAACCAGCTGTGGCTCAGGAAGACCAAACGCAAGGCATTTTACGCTGCTGTGGCCTGTGAGCGATTCAGGGAAGGGACTGAGAGCCTGCTGCAGGTCAGTGCTTTCATTTACAACACACTTCTTCAACTGGAGAGAACCCCCCCCCCCCCCCCAAAAAAAGAAAGACATGCTAACCCATTCAATTAATGTGTAACCTGCGAGTTTTCATCGGAGGGGTACGGCGGGCTGACACATTGCAGAAACAGGTTTTATTGACCAATTGTAACCTCGCAACAGCGAGTATCTATTGCTGTGTTATGACTCTGAACTTGTCTTAAGAATTTGGCTGGGACATTACTGCAGGGGGTAGAAGAGGAGAGAGTTAATGAGGACCAGGGAAAACATTCTTATGGCTCAGGCTATCGCTCTGGGGAGATAAGGTTCCGGTTCATTGTCAGGACTGCTTACTTCAAACAGCATGGCAGATTAAGAGCTATAATTGATTAACACTGCAATGGATGAGTAGTCCCTGCAGACAAAGTTATATCTGCTGGGTGATCTGGTCATAATTTCTGGCAGTAAAACAGCTTCATAGCCGTCTTGTATATAGTACATGTTGAGTTTTGTTGTTTGTTTCTCTTCTCCAGTTAATTGGGACTCCAGGTTTTACAACCGCAGGTGGGCCTAGTGTTGCTTCAGTTATCTGATCTGGGGTTTTATCTTTATGCTATGAGTGTTGTGCTTTTCCTTACAGGCTTCTGGTCTTGGCCGCATGAAGCCTAACACATTACTGATAGGCTTCCAGAGAAACTGGAGGACTGCGGGCACAGAGGCGGTGCAGAGTTATGTGGGAGTACTGCAGTAAGTCGCAAACAAATACACAGAAGCACATGTGACAATAATGTACCCAATAACTAAACATAGATGGGAGATCTTAGTGTTGGACTGGTGTCCTCATCTTCTTTCTGTTTTTGACAGTGATGCATTTGACTTTGAGTACGGGACATTGGTGCTGAGGATGAGCCAGGGACTTGATATGTCGCACATCGTGGAAGCGGAAGGTCTGTGGAAAAACTTCTTCTACAAATACCACTACTATACGATTTAGACCCAAATGTAGGTGAGGATGAAAAACAATGGCAGGAAATAAGTGACCTCAAAATAGCAGCAAATATTGATACAAGATAGCAGAATAATTTAAAAGAAGAAATAGAGTAGTAGTCCACCTGAACTGACCTTGAATCAATTTTGACTCCTTTAATCAACCAGAAGAAGAACAAAAGAAAAACTCCACTGCTGCTGGACTTTTATTCTGACAACGACCCAGAGTAACACTGATAAGCCAGGACACTTTGTTCTGTAGATTACGAAGTATTTATAAAAGTCGGGTAGTTAACAGATAAGACGGTAGAATAAGTACCAGTTTACAGCCGAGCCTCTGTAGAGATCTTTACAATACCAAAGATAATCGTTGGTAATGTCATGCTTATTCACAGACATACGTATCATAAACAGGAAATGTCTTCTGTCTTTTCAGAGGACATGCTAAAAGCAGCGAAGGAGCAACAGGCACTGGACAAAGACATGCTGTCGAACGGTGGGAAAGCAAAAGGAATGTTCAGGAAGTCCAGGAAATCCTCTAAGCAAGTGCTCACAACCAGAGGTATCTCTCCTTCGAGGTTATTTCTCTCTGATCAAATCTGACCTGACATTTCTGAAAGGCCTCCATCTATGCAATGTAACGCACGATAAGACGAGTGTGATCTTTGAACATGTGGGGAGAGGAGCTACGTCAATATGAGGAGGAGAGTGAGATCATATTTCCAATGATGTAACAAACGTTTAACGAATGAAACCAATCGCACACATCTTTTTTTTGGAAACATCCCCACCACTCCCATTGAGATATAACTGAATCACGCGCTCCTTCTTAAGATGTCTCTGAGGGTGTAATCCAATAATATGGTCCCTTTCGTTCCAGTTCGAAGAGCATCCCTTAAGAGCAGCCCTTTAATCCAGACACGAGGGTGCTTTCAGCCTCTCACTCGATCCGTCTCTACATCACTCACACACACACACACACACACACCAATGAGCTGTGTCCTGGCAAGACTGCGATGGTCGTTAGTATGCAATCTGGAGAGATGTCTGTTCCCGCTGATGTAGAGTCAGCTCCTAATGTTGATTTGCACTAATTTTCCCATCCAACTCAACTCTCCACGCTTCACCAAAGAATAGGATTGCCTTCTACCGTTCCTCTCCCTCATCTGCTCCTCATTTCTCGTGTCTTTTTCTCTCTCAGTGTCGGTGTGCGGCCCTCCGCCCCCGCAGGTTGCCAAGATGAATGAGAAGCTGTTGGAGGCCAGCGCTCGGTTCCAGAAGAAACAGCCTAAAGGCACCATTGATGTGTGGTGGCTGTTTGATGATGGAGGTAGGTGTTGGCTCCCCAAGGCGCCCTTCTCCTATGTTTCTCACTATCAAAATAGACAGGTCACATTCTCCCTCATACTAATGCAGACAACGTGCAGATGGAAGCGATCAACGTAAAATTAACAAAACGTGAACAGTAAAATTAAACCAAAAAAAAGGGGGGAAAATGGTAAACTAGAAGTTATAAATGCCTATAGATCTCCTAGTAGCAGAGAAATAAACTGACAAGTGCAAACATATAACCACCTTGGCAAATGTGAATTACCAAGATACATATTGAACAATAACACCAATTGGTTTCTCTCTCAGGTCTTACCCTGCTGCTCCCCTACATCCTCACTACCAGGAAGAAGTGGAAAGACAGTAAATTAAGGATCTTCATCGCAGGGCAGCCTGGACGCTGTGAGCAGGACAAGCAAGAGTGAGTAAAAAAAAAAACACTATAAATTCTAGCTTCGAGCTAGGGTAGGCAGTTCTTTATTCTGGCCTCATTGTGCAAAAATGTCATAATAGCCTTTCAAGATATTGTAATAATGTCTGCACCTTCTGTTAGCTGTGTTTTCAGGTTTTAGAAAGTCTAGGCTAGCTCGTGGGTTAGGTTTAGAGACGTGACGTGAGACTTCGGCCGATTACAAATGCAGATGCAAGTGCACATCCCTTCAGTGAAAACCCCATTCAATGGCAAGAAAAGTTGCTCTTCCAGCATTGGCAATAACTGCCTACACTGCAAAGCAACCCAAAAAAGTAAGAAGCAAAGCAGTTCGGAGATGGAGCCAAAGGCTCACGGTTGCAGCTAGCAGAAAGCTAAGCTACTGGCTACATTTTTCTCCATCTCTCTAATAGTTTGAGCTGCAGCTGGGACGGCTACGGTTAGCAGGCTATTAGCTATTAACTTTTAGCTATTATATAACTATTATTTAATCTCCATCTTTGAAAGGCTTCTTCAATATTGTTCAAATCACGATGATGTTTAGTTGAATGACTAGTGTTCGAACAGGTTACTGTATGAAGCGCATGCTTATGCTCATCCTCGTCTGGTGGGAGGGGCTGACAGGTTGGGAAGAGCTGCAGGATGTGGAATGTATATTTTCTAATTCTGGCGTGGGTTTTTTTGTTCAGCCCTTTCCAGAAAACTGCTTCCCCTGGGGTAGCGCTTGAATTACAATATGCTGAAAGGTTATTATGGAATGACGCCAAAAAATATATTTTCTACCCAAGCTTTAATGGCTGGAAGTTAGATTTTGGGAAATTAATTGGCAAAATCCAGACATGAAGATTCATGAGCCAACAACATCCCTTTACAGGAAATGTTATTTAGCATGGAAATAAATACCAACATCTATATGAAGGTTAATGAGTGTGTGATAATCTGTCTCGCAGGATGAAGTCTCTGTTGGAAAAATTCAGAATTAACTGTACGGACATCAATGTCATCGATAACATCCACGTCCAACCCAGCGCCAACAGGTAATTGACAGTTATGATGGTGACAGCAGACCAGATGGTGCTGCAGAAATAGTCAACTTTAATCACCTCATAGTATCTGCATAGTATAAGAAAAAAACAGCTTTCCAAATTCAGCTCATGCTCTTATCTGCCTTCCTCCAGCTTTAAGAAGTTAGAGGACATGATTGAGCCTTTCTGTCTGCATGAGGGGTCTAAAGACACCGCTCAGGCTGAAGCCATGCGAAAAGAGCAGCCCTGGAAAATCACTGACGAAGAGCTGAGCACCTTTGAGGAGAAGGTAAACCCACTGACACTAAGTGAAGACTTTACATACGTAATCATGTATTAGTTTGGTTTGGAGGTGGGTACATTAAACAGCAAAATTAGGTTGAAAAGTAAATTCTGCTGTTTTACAGACCAACCTCCAGGTGCGACTGAACGAGGTGCTTCAGGAAAACTCCAAATCAGCCAACCTGATCATTGTGTAAGTATAGCCAACTGTTGCCAGAATAACATTGAAGCTTAGTAGAAACGGTGTCTAACATACTCTCATACTCATACATACTCTGTGCCCTCACCCCCTGTAGGAGCATGCCCATTGCTCGTAAGGAGTCCGTTTCTGACTTCCTCTACATGGCCTGGCTGGACATTCTGACAAAGGACCTTCCACCCACCCTGCTCATCAGAGGCAACCACAAGAGTGTGCTTACGTTCTACTCCTGAGCACCGTGCACGCTATAAACTAAGCTATAAATGAGATTAATGGAAGTATCATAATGATGGACCATGTTCATAAAGCACACCAGAACTTTGGACGATGTTATTCAGTCGGCATGACCAACATCCACGATATAAAACACAAGCAGTTTCAGTAAGGTCCTGTTGAAGACTTTCCTACTCACAAGTGCTTAGACAAGAAAATATAAGACATATCTTTAAAAAAAAAAAAAAACACAGAAAGGTTGGTCAGCAGGCGTATCTGACAAAGGTATAATAAAAAAACTATTTTCAATCAATCACAGCTAAACCTTGTAAATATTTACCCATTAGCCCGTTTTTATCACTGTCTGGTATGTGCCCTTTTTATGATATCTTGTGGCAAGTTGTGGAAAACCAGCCAGCGTGCCAGTACACTGTCTGGCTACCAGTGTAAACTCGTAATGCCCTGCTGCACTCAGGGTTTTGTATGAATGCTGTCAGTGAGGAACAACAATAAAGTCTTAAGAAAAATGCATATCTGACATTGAGTTTGTAAATGTCAGACAGTCTGAATGTGAATTTAGGAGCTCAGGCAAAGTTTAACCTCTTTTCAGAAAGTACAGAACAAAAGCTTAATGCTCAGATATTGTTATATTCATAAAAAGCTTATATTTTTTGGTGTGAACAAAGTCGGACCAAACGTCTTCCTAACTCAGATCAGTCCAAAGAACAAAGCCAAAGACACAGGCAGAGACACAAGGCTGCTTTTCAATGGTTACATTCAGTGACTGTGTTGCCTGCTGCTGTGATTGTAAAATAAATGTATATAGTAGATGTCTGACTTCACTAGTGGCTATTTTTGAGGCATAAAAACCTGTCTTTTCTTAAATGATTGCATCCATTGTTTTAAACCATGGTTTGATTATTTTTTAAACATTCCTTGATATTTGCTGGGTGTAAAATACTCTGAAGTTGTTTCACCATTCCACATTATACAGACTACTGTTTAAATATTTAAATATGTTTAATGTTTCAGGACAATTGAAATGATTGTAAAACCAATTATTTTGTATATTTTAACATGTTTTTTTTGCTATTTAATTATATAATTTTGATTACCTGATATTAAGGATTAATAAAATTGTGAGCTGCTCACATTCTTGTCTCTGTCATTTAAAAGTTGATTTGTTGAGATAATGTCAGATATTGTTTTTCCAGAGAAATGTGTCAGTGGAATGGGAACCTGCTTATGTCACAAGCTATTTGTACATTACTTGAGTATTTTAATTTGTATAAACTATACTTTAAATTATCTATTTTTACTATCATGGTTGTTGTAACAACTTAACACACTGGGGTTTGAAAGCTATAAAGTCTATGAACTTGCAAGATGCGAGACAAGCAACTACAAATACTAAATACTTTCTGATTTCTCTCTGTTTCAAAGAAACAAGGTTTGGGCGAAATCTGGCATGGCCAAAAAGAGTTGTTTGGAAACTCAATCTGAAACAAATACATATATTTCATGCTAATGGCTACATTTAAGTGTTAGTGCACATGTTGAATATCAGCACTGACTGTGAATGCAAACATTGTATGGCAATGATGATGTATTCCCAAAGGGGGGCAGCAATGGACTCGAGATTTTTGGATCCGACTGTATTATCTCAACTCTCAAGTGATAATAATAGTTTGAAAAGAAGGTTGTTAAAAATTAGCTTGATTAGTCAATATAATGATGATATTATATAATTAAGATTAGATGAAAACGTTATGTATCCCAAGGGAAATTGCATAATGAGCAATTGTTTAACACTAGAGTCCGCCATATCCTTCTCAGTATACAAAATATGCAATAAGATATAATGTTGGCAATCCAGCAAAATGTATTCTGATTAAAAAATACTAGATCTGCTGCATGGTACCTGCTCGTGGAGGCATAAAAGGAAATGAAGCAGCAGACAAAATAGTCACAAACAGGACACAGTCTGTTAAAGATGTAACAGGCTACAGAGAAAAAAAACTCTACTCTGGCAGTGATGATCACTGTGTCTTTATTCAGTGTGGCTTTGCAGCACAAAGGCAGTAAAACTGCCTGTGCCAAAGCACACTGTATATAATCCATCGGGCTTATAATCAGGTTTATCCAAAGGTTTGGCGCCCTTCTTCTCACACAGCGTTGCCAACAGCGGCGTGAAAAATACATCAAAACGTGCGGCCTGATCGGGAATCGTGTGCCATCTATTTTTCGGAGAGATTCGCCGCATTGAATCGCAGATTAAGTTTCAGGAAACTTTTGGGTCCGTTTCAGATTTTATAATGGGTGTGTATTGCACGGCTCGTTAAGAGCTAGAGTGAGGGCATAACTGTCAGAGTGGAGCGGAGCAGGAAAATATTCTGTGATTTTTCCAAACAAATTGCTCCAGCTCCCATAATTTTTACGCTTTATACACCATTTTTGCCCCAAAAGCTTGGAAATGTTGTGCTGGTCGCAGTAAAGTGTCTGTGGAATCCAACGGATTTACGCATTTGGCTGAAAGAGCCACAGAGTGACATGAACTCCAACCAACTGCTCCATTAGACTCCATGTTAATTCTGACCGCTAATTTCTCAAAGAAAGCAGACGGTACCAGTTTTGTATATTGCTCTGGAGCTCACATTTTTTAACACCACAAACATAAAAACCACATCAGCGCGTTCGGAGTCTTATCTTTCTCACGGTATCCATATTTTGGCACTCAGACTTCTGCTAATTTGTTAAAAGGAGGTTTTGTTGAAAATCACTGATTATTGTAATGTTTCTTAATCAGTCTGCCTTTTTAAACCTCCTCTCTGTCTGTCTCTCTTTATGTCTGTCTCTCTCTCTCTCGCTCTCTCTATCATACAGTCATTCAGGTCGTAGATATTTTTAGAGAACCCCCCCCCCTCCCATTTTCAACATACTATATTATGACTTTTTTATGATTGTAAACATTTCCAAGTATCCAACTATTTGACAAAATTCAGTCATAAATAATCATTAATTTTATTGAATCACAATAACTTAAGACTAGTACAGTGAGCCCTGGACAGACCAGTGATGACAAACTGCATCAATCTGCTCTGATGTAAAGAGACTGTACACAAAATACTCCTTTTGAAGTCCTGTAACAAATCAGCTAGAAAAAGTCATCAAAATGCTGCAAGATAATCAACTATTTACAAGGTTATGTTACATACAAAAAATGTACATAGCAAAGAAGGCTTAACATTCATTGAGTTTGTGAGTAATAAACTGACAGACTGGGCAAATGCTTTCACAACATCCACACCTCTTCGAGCAGACTTTACTCGAGACAAACAGAGGAATCAGTCTCTTTGTGCTTACAAGTACCATAGCAGGAGAGCCTCTAGAATCTACAGACATACATATGGACAAAGAACATAGGGCCTAACAAATCTGATTCCATGCTGTATATTTCGGCAGTGCTGAAAACCACGCACATTCAGCTTTTGGCTTCCATTTGGAGATCAGAATGAATGTTGCATAGGATCTGTGAGTAAAACACTGAATGCCATGGACGTTGTGCTGGATGACATGACCCCATGGCATTTAAATAGCGCCTGCCCTTCCCAGAAGGTAGGCTGGGAGGTTTTAGGAAAATAAAAAGTACAATATTCTTTACATTTTAAGCCACAGAAATAACGTCAAACTGTTTTACATCATCATTCAACCACAAGTACCTTTATACCTTTTAACCTCCGATTAATTATATCACTATAAACAAAGCAGCATATACACTAGTTTTCACTTAATTAGTTGAACATGTTTGTTAGGACAGTTCTGTTCATCACAAATCACATAAAACAGAACTATGAGCGTGACGAAAGCACAGTTAAAGGATGGGGATGAGGTATAAAATCAACACATCTTCTTAAACTTCCCTCACCCAATCAACCTGCAAAACGTTCAAATTTCGAGCACCAAAACACATCAATATATTTTTATTTCTTGCTAGTGGTCCGAATATTTACACCAGCTTCACGGCACTGGGTTATACATGCATACACTTTAATTTGAAACCCAAAGTACTGCTTTTCATTCATGTCTCAATCCCATAGCGTTGGTGTTTGATATGACGAGAGGTCGACGCTGCTCCTCGACAACCCGAGGTGCTCGAGGAGAGTTGACGTGGAGCCCTGTTAGGTTTACAGCCATTTAGACAAATAAAAAAATCTGCTAATGCGCATAGTCTGTTAGAAAAGAGTAAGGCATTGTTTTGAATTCAGTCCAGCACCAAAAGAGATTTGTGCTACAACAGCCTGTTTGGGCCAATGTGCATGGAGATCTAAAAGGATTATGAAGTAGTCAAAATTAGAAGTGGTGGAGCTGTTGTTTGTGAAGTTACACAGAAAGTTACAACACAGATGGAAAAGGATATCGTGACAAACATGGTACAAGTTTAAAGGATAAATCCAGCCATGGTGAATGTTTGTTTCCAAGCTAGTGCCCTTTACTACTGAAAGTCTCAGGAATCAAAAGAGATTTAGTAAATTAGATTTAGTCCTTGCCTTGTCTTGCTTTGTAAAATAACTTACAGATGTTAGTGTCTGTGTTTACAGCTGTGTGTTTGGCCAATACAACTGTATGTAATGTACTTAATGTTATTCTGCTCCTCTACTCTGGTAGAACCACAGTTTCTCAGACAGGATGTAACCACTGAAGACCTTGAGGAACAGCACCATATGTGTCAACTTAAAGGGTCAGCAAGGATTGTGGTGAGAATATTTGGACTTTCACATTGTCCTGGTGGTGATGCAATGTTGCTACAGTTTAACTAACTTTCTTATTATCATGTTTATATCACAGATTTGCATTTTTAAACACCAGTTCTTTTTTTTGTTTGTGTCCATGAAGGGCTTTGAATTCAGACATGGGCTCTCAATTACTTTTTGTGGATTCATATCTGTTTCATGACCTACTACTACACCACATGAATAAAATCAAACAGTGAATAGAGTTTGGATGTATTCATGAACAATCACTGAGGAGTTTTTCGAAGTGTGAGCGGGCATGCTGTGGGACTTAACATTCACTTTGCCCTGATTTATTCTTCAGCAACCACAGAGGCAACTTTAGCCACAGAGGAGGAGGAAGAGCACAAAGCTGCTGGCTGTTCATCCATCCAACCAGCAGCCTCATCGGTGTCCTCAGCGGCTGGTAGTTCAGGCTCACCGATGCTCCAGAGACAAGTGTCTGTATCGCCATCTGCAGGCAGCTCAGACACACTGCAGCTGGGCAGGGACAGGAGTATCCACGCCTGATAGGAGGACCGCTGGCTGGTATATGCTGATGATGGTAATGATGGCGCCTCACCAACCGTGACAGGCTGTGTGCTTTTATTCTGTCTGTCTGAAGTAGAAGTCAGGCTCCTGTCAGAGGAGCCACTGGCCACAGCGGTGAAAAAAACAACTAAACAGAGCAGTGCAGTTGAAACCTGTTGCCTGTTTTCTGAAATGCAATTTGAACCTTCTTAAATATTTGGGTTACCTGCACCCAAATTAAGGTGGCTGGATTTTACTCTAAAGAAGATGTTCTCACAGTTGTTGTGAAAACCGATCCCAGTGTGACATCACAAGGTGGACTCCAGCGACGTGTCCAGGATGTCGTCCTGGTGGCTGTTGCTGTTGGAGTCGCTGTCGTAGCTCTGCGGGCTCGATGACGTCGCCGCCTCCTTCAGACGCATCAGCATGTTCATCTGTCACCAGAATCAATGTGTCAGTCTGATCACGCTTTACCAGTGGCGGGCTGTGCATTTTATACCTGGGCCTCCTGTGCTGTCCTACTGAGCTACGGTTATTTGTTTCTATCGGTGTAATAATACACGTATTCGTATTAAACCGTTTGGTACGAGACTTACGAACCGTACAATACGTTTGTATAATACTAGTGCATTTGGAAAATGCAGAAGCTTAAATTGTGGGAAATATAATGTTTTCGGTGGACTGCGCTCACGGAACACCGGGCTGAATCTGATTGGATACAAGCTCTCCTTAACACAAGCTGTGCTGGAAGCAGAGCAACAGAGGAAGACAGGAGCTGTGCAATGGGAACAAAAATTATAATACATGTAGTGTATTTGTGAAAAATTATAAAATAGCTATAACTTTGTGATTCTGTTTAGGCCAGCAGAGAAGGCTTAGCTGGCCCTGACGGCCCACCACTGCGCTTTACAACTCAGAACAACTCGACGTCCACTTAGTATCTTTCAATCTCTATTGCAGAAAGGAGTTAAAACTCTTAAGTAAGTCACTGACACTAGCTAAACACAAGAACGCTCTAAAGATGTTTCTTTACTTGACAGCTTTAACTTAATGTGAGATAGTTATGTTTGTTTTTGTAATCTTCTTATTTATCATTTTTGTGTTTGACTTGATTTGTTGATTGAGGCGTGTAAAGAGGCCTTGATTGTTTGTACTTGTTATTTTCTCAATAAAATAAAGAAAGGATACTATATATTTGTGCATGACTGCTCTTTCTCAGGCGAATCTGCTCTTCACATGTATTGTTGCTCACCAGTGGGTCTGCGTCGCTGTCGCTCTGTGGTGGCTCTTTCCTGACTCCTTCCCTCGGGGCAGAGTAGCCATCGAACCCCACATCCTCTGGGCGGAGCTGCAGCAGCGGGGGCCAATCAGCCGGAGTGGAGGTGGCTGACCACGGGTAGGTGTCAATCACCCAGGCAGCAGGGTTCTCCCACGCAGCCCTGCGGCCATAGAGCTACAGAGAAGCACAGAATATAGCACTGAAACACACCAGAAGATGCTCTGAGGCACATTTTAAGTTCTGGACTTAATGGCTTGGAGCAGTTTGTAGTTTGAAGTTCAGTTTTTCGAGTATTTACTGAAGGCCAGTTTTATGTGGAAATTGCTTTTCCTCTAAAATGGGTGCACTAGGTAAGAAAAAAAATAAAGACAAATCTAAATGACAGCAGGCAACACTGAAAGCTGCTCTGAAGCCTCAGTAACACAAGCCGCCTTGTGGTTGTATCCCTCCGCCAAAGTTCACCTCCATGTCTGTCCAACATGCCACAGAAAAGTCACAGTATAGTAAGTCACAAAAAATGTCATAAAATATAGTAGAGTAAGTCATAAAAATTCATAGTATGTCATTAAAAAAAAACATGGAAATGTCCTAAAAAGACATAATATAGCATGTCAAAAAATGTCACAAAACAGTCTTCATTAATTATTAATTTGACGGTTTATTATGTCATACATATACAGTTTCATAAAAAAAGTCATAAATAAGTCATAGTATAGTAAGTTATTAAAAATGTCTTAGTATACTGTATCATGTCATGAAAAGTAAAAATAAATCATATGTCATAAAAGTCATAGTATAGTATGTCATAAAAGTAATACGTTATAATAGTTATTTTTTAAGTTGTGTATTTAAAAAAATAAAGTCACAGTATAGTGTGTCAGAAAGGAAGTCACAGTATATATTATGCCATAAAAATGTCATAAACAGTTTGTGCCAAATGTCAAAGGTGTCCTGAGAACCTGATCATCCCATCGGTCACAGCTGTCTCGGACGAATAAAATTCCATTGCAGCATCTCTACATTGTGATTTCTCTACTGAACTACGCTGACCTACACTCCCACTCTGAGGTTGCATTCTGGTAATTAGCTGCTGCCTAATTAAACCAGATGCTAATTACATGCAGATTAGAAGTACAAATTGAATCCATTTCCCTTTGATGAACACAACCCCGGTCTTCTGAGGGGGCAGATCTGAACAGTTGTATTGTTCTCTGACTCATTACACTTCTACTTCAATCAGCTGGATCCTTTAGTTTAAAAGTCCCCTCAGGATGTCGAATCATGTCTCTTTATTATTTAATTTCATTCTTACAGCTAAAAACATCATAAACTGAAATAAAAATGTAATCCTTTGTTCTTTGGCCAGAGCATAATCAGTCCATCATTTTCTATTTCTATAGATATCAAGAGAATTATGTGCGTGCGTTACCTGCAGTCCCTCCCGTACGGCCTCCAGCATGTAGGGGATGATGGAGTAATTCCAGAGGTCAGTGAACCAAACCCTGGATCCCTCCACGTCCATGGGACAGGACAAGAAGAGACGAGGTCCTGCACGCCACAGAGCGGGGGAAGTAAGACACTGATTGTTTCTACGCATTGACGTTTCATAAAGGATCCCAAATCAATCGTGGATCTTTCTCTTACCGATGGTGACGTCAGAGGAGCTGTGTGTCTCCAGGAAGCGGTTGAGGTGGTGCCAAACACGCGGGATCCAGTCGATGATCCTCACCAGCTCCATGTTGCGCGTTCGGCTGCCGATCTCCGTCTCGATCAGCTTCCGCCTCAGGTAGCGGCCGAGGAAGCCTTTCACCGGCTCCACGTGGTTGGCACACAGCACCCACCTGATCAGAAAACAGACATGTATAACTGTTCATTATCACACAAAACGGTAAAAGCTTCCTCCAGGTTGAAATGCATCTCGTCAATCTCTCAATATGTCAAACACAGTGTGTGTATCAGCAGCCGTTTACCTGAAGTTGTGGTGAAGCTGCAGGTTGGGGGCAGATGACGTGGCTTGGCTCATGGTGCCGATAATGTAAGGGCTGAAATGAGAGAAACACACTGATTATTATTCTTTCTGTCGGCTCCAACAAGTTGTACGATACTTAATAAGTCAGTGGACACGTTGCGTTAAAGTAGCGCCATTGAGAGGGTGTTACTCTGCTTTGTGGTGTAAGTCCTGTAAGCTGTTCTAACAGGGCTCTACCTTCAGTTGACATGACGAGTGAAGCGAAACATCTTTTGGTTAACTGCCATACTGTACCAATGTACATACTTTTAACAAATCTGCATATTATCAGTCCTCACTCAGGAGTAATACATTTGAAATTCAACATCATTTTTTAGCATGATTGGGCAGATACAGTAGATGTGTGTGTGCGTGTGTGAGAACTGACCAGTGCTGGTAGTTGCAGTTGAAGACGCCGTTGAAGATCTCTCCCAGGGAGCTGACGTGGTGCAGGTTGTCCAGAATGACCACCAGAGGGCTGTCTGCACCCGGGACACCGCTGCACTGTTCAGCCAAACCAGACAAGTACTGACGCAACTCCTACACACACAGAGAGAGAGAGAGAGAGAGAGAGAGAGAGAGAGAGAGAGAGAGAG